GAAAATCAGTAACAAAGAACCCATAAATAATTAAGATTTGGTATTATATACACTTCATACTTGAGTAGCTAAGGAAGTTTCATCAAGAAATTATATTAACTTAAAAATTATATTAACTTAATATTTCAGTGTTGCAAAACTGATGTAAGCTCATAATTTTGGCATGATGGTTCAGTTCTGTTTTACTAAATTTGAACTCATTGTTTTCTCTTGTGGGAAGAGTTTCAAATAATGAAGTCCATGAGCCTCCCAAATGAATTTTTTAGCCATAGACTCATATTTTAGTGCAGAGATTCACCTTTTCTTCTATTCCTCATGAAAGCGTTATCAGAATCCAGGTGAGTAACAGGCATCATAGGGATAACCTTGAACTTATTTCTAAGATAAATAATTTTCAAGTGGTATTAACTGTCAATAATGAAAAACTCACAGCATATTCTACAACTACTTTATGACAGTGACACTATTTTTGCGCACCATTGCTTTAGAGAATAAATGCATTCCCACCTCATTGGCTTTAGTGCAAATCTCATCTCCTGGTTGATATCCATTACAAATTAGATTTCACTGTGAGAGCAAAATCCCTTAATAAGCCTAGTTAAAAACAACTTAAAGCAATATGATGCTTATTTCAGTGGCACCACTAGGTGTGGTGTTTGCATCAAGTCATTTTGGGGTGCTTTATGGAAATGCTTCCTTATAGGGAATTCCCTGACTTCATACTTCCAGAATGGTGCTTTTTTTTTTTTTTTTTTTGGTTGCTTTTTAGTGCTTACAAGAACTGGATGAAACCACATGTAGCCAGGAGGTACTATCCCCTAGCACATGGTGGATTGTTGATGAGAGGTCTGAGGATTTGGGTCATTCAAATAAATGACTTCTCAGATTTATTATGTTTTCTGTATACTGAGAATAGGTAACTAAATGAGCGGTAACTATATTTGCATGTGATTTGTATGTTATAGTTAACATTTAAATTCTCTTAGGTACTAAAAAGTTTTTTGGTTGCCACCTTAAGCCTCTCTATCTTCAAAGGCACAGAGTGGCTTTCCATCTCAATTTTTGCTTCAACATATGAACCCTAGAGGGCCATAGTACAACTAAAAGCACCTAACCCATGAATGATATTTGCTTCATGTTTGAACAACAAATGTTTTAACCCACTGTCTTCACTAATATTGTAACTACTGTCTTACAGATTGACTTGATGCAAAACATCACAAAGGCTCCATATTATACAGTATGCGATTTTTGAGGTATGAGCTTTAGAAACTTACCTCTCATGTGGCATGTACATCAGGCTTTAACTTCACTTTAATCATTTGGGGGAAATTTATGCATTTCTTATTTTTCTCTCTCTCTCCATAATATTTTTAGACTATTAAAGGGGTTGTGGAGGTATTTTTGATCCTTGCTAGTGTGTGTGATTCTTAGTTTTAACAGATACATTTTCTCTTATCACTAAACTGAGACACTAATTCTGGCAGATGAGATAGTTTTTTCAGCCCTTATAACTGGCTTAACATTTATACCTGCCTTTTTGAGTTCAAATCTATTTTGTGCCTTTGCCTCATTTTAAGTGCTAATTTCCGTTCGTTAACAGTTTTCTGTTTATTGGACTGGGAGGTGGTGTTGGTGCTAACAACCTGATACTGACTTTTTTTTTTTTTTTTGAGACCTAGGCAGTCTTGATATTAAAAAATCAAGATTTCATTTAAATGTTGAACCATTTTGTGCTTTTGATTATAGTCTGTACTTCAGACTACCTATAACTTGAATTCTGGTTGGAAATGATCAGTTTGTTTTGAAAGAACTTGGTGAATTTTTAGACAGCTCTGAGACAGTAGTTCTAACCCCAGTGATTTTTTTTTGTGATATTTCTGAAAACCCAAACTCTGAGGGGAAAAAAAAACCTTGGTGTTCATAACTCATGGTATTTTAAACCCTGTATTTTTTTTTTTAAGATTTTATTTACTCATTCATGAGGGACACAGAGACACACACACACACACACACACACACACACACACACACACGCAGAGGGAGAAGCAGGCTCCATGTAGGGAGCCTGCCGTGGGACTCGATTCCAGGTCTCCAGGATCAGGCCCTGGGCTGAAGGCGGTGCTAAACTGCTGAGCCACCCGGGCTGCCCAAAAACCTGTATTTCTAATAAACTGGGAACTTGTTCCCATTCTTTTTTTCCAGTTTAGTTTGAAATCAAATGCTTCATAGGTAGAAATGGATTTGTTGGTAGGAGATGCTTAATTTCTTCATTGAAGAACTTAAAATCAGCTGCTGTATATTGGGTATGAAAGCTTGTTTTGATTGTATTCCTATGCTCTTTAACTGCTTATATATTTGTTAGACTGGAAATCTTGAGTTTAGTATTATGGTCTTATTAACTTTTTAAAAAAGATTTATTTATATGAGCACACTGAGAGGAAGGGTAGAGGGAGAGGGAATCTTAAGCAGACTCTGCCCTGAATGCAGAGCTGAAAATGAGGCTCAATCTCATGCCCTGAGATCAGGACTTGAGCTGAAACCAAGAGTCGGATGCTTAACTGAGTGTGCCATCCAGGCGCCCCAGGGTCTTAGTAACTTTGAGCATACCCTGTAAGCTAAGTATTTCTTAAGAATTGATTATCTTATTAAGTCTCACTACAACTGTACATGTGAGATAGGTATTATCCCCATTTTACGCAGAAAACAACTGAGGCTTGGAGATTAAGTATCTTGTGCAAAGTCCCACTTAATCTTTTTGGTGGTAGAGCTGGGATTTGAGCCCAGATATATATATTTTTTAACCCATATTCTCTGCTGCCTTATGTTTACTGCCTTGTCACCAGAAAAATGATACAAATACTTAATTCTTAGTAGTAAAGGTAGCATATTGATATATATAAACATAACTTAAACAGGAAATTCAAGATGTTTAAATGTTGGTAGATTTTCGTTAATCTTGTATCCATTCATTTGCTAGTGGTTTACTTATCTAGGTTGTGTTAGGTGTCCTACATAAACGCAAGTTCAAAATCTCTCAGAAAAGCTCTTATTAAGCTCTCTTTTATTTTTTAGTTCCCTTTTAGAAGTTTATGGTATATTATGGTTTATTGTAGGTGCGCATTTAATGTGCTATTTTTAGAAATGTGAGAGATGTCCTTACATTCATTTTAAAAAGCTCTCATGTTCTATTTAGTGTTAATGATATTTAAATGCTTATAGATTTAGTATGCTTAGAAAAAATTCCCGTACTTTTTTTCTTAAAATTCCATAAATTATATTTTTTCAACTATTGGAAATACTGAGTTTTATTGACAAGTGAACCTTATATGTTTGAAGGAGATATTTTATTATAGAGCCTTAGTTATTTTTGTATGCTAGGGTCATGGAATTTTACTAAGTTTCCATTTGATAGCCTTTAGGAATAATTTAGACTTGTACCACTTAACCAAGTTGTTTGCATTTTATATTAATAGTAGTTTCAGTAAGTATAGATTGGGTTGTCTGAGTTTATGCCAGATTTCATCTTTAATATTTTTGTGGGTGGGGCAAAGAAAAATGACAAATTAAAATATATACACAAACATTGAAGGCATTTATTTATTTATGATTTTATTTATTCATGAGGCACACACAGAGAGAGGCAGAGACATAGGCAGAGGGAGAATCAGGCTCCATGCAGAGAGCCTGATGTGGGACTCGATCCCAGAACCCCGGGATCACACACTGAGCTGAAGGCTGATGCTTAACCACTGAGCCACCCAGGCATCCCTGAAGCCATTTTTATATAAGAGGGAGGAGCCATAAGGGTCAAGGAACAGGCTAGTTTCTGCTCTTGCCAGTGTGTTCCAGTTTCCCAAATAGTTGTGGGTTCAGAAGATGTTTTTAGTACATATCATAAAAGTGCTTTTTTTCAGAAGGTTGTTCCTTTCAGAATAGTATCAATAGGACAGGAGCTTTTTTCTTGGTATTTTTCATATGCTGTTGGAGTGTTGTCTTATTTCTTCATGCTTTATGTTTGATGGTTGGAAGACTAAGACTTGTGGGAAATTATGAAACTCAGCTCCTTGTTGTACTGATGAGGACACTGAATCGTAGAGCTGATCCTTAGATGAGAATAAGGACTAATTTTGCCCTGGTGCTGCACCACTTGTTTATTAGTGGCCAAGTATCAGGGATTGTTCTCCACAGTACTTGACTTTTAAAAAGATGATGGAAAAAAAAATTAAAAAATAAAAAATAAATAAAAAGATGATGGACTGCAACCTTCAATCAGCATTATTGGATTCTTGATATTTTATTTTTCTCAATTTTTATAATTTTAATTGATAGTCTCTACAGTTAAGGAATCTTCAATGAAGTCTCCAGTACATTAAAATAATCTTACTTTCCAGCTAAGTGTTTTTATAACCTATCAATCTTGCTTTCAAATATCATTCTGTAATTTACTTTCCCACCAAATAATCAATTTAGGAATTCAGATGAGAGAGAGAGAGAGAGAATGCCACATTGCCCCTGCCTCATATGTTACCAGTGCTTTTCATTTTTATGACTGGGAAGACTAATTTTTCCACTGATTAACCACTCCTTTGAGGACAACTGAGGAAGAGTATTTCATTTTATCAAATCATGTGAAGAGAATCCTGGACCAGGGTAACCAACTGTCTTCGTTTGCCTTGGACTGAAGGGGGTTCCATGGACATGGGATTTTCATTGCTAAAATTTGTTAACTCTTGAACACAGCAGGATGAGTTGGTCACTCTGATCCTGGTAGCTATCTATATTTCTGAATGAGTCTAATGAATAGAAGGGGGTGAAAGGCTGGCATTTCATTCATTGACAGTCCCTTCCCTGTTGACTTATTAGTAATTGGAGTGCTTATTTGTAGTAGTAATGATTTAAAAATTAGAGTGGTAGGAGAGGCTTGAATAAAAGATTGATGATTTGGGTTTTGCAAATATTTGTTTAAAGTTTAATTTTATACTTTTCTCTCTTTACAGAACTGATAGTGCATCAGCCGACCCAGATACTTTAAAATATTCTTCATCCAGAGATAGGGGTGGGTCATCTTCTTATGGACTGCAACCTTCAAATTCAGCTGTGGTGTCTCGGCAAAGGCACGATGATACCAGAGTCCACACTGACATACAGAATGACGAAAAGGGTATATATGCTTCCTTTGTTGTTAGAGGCATGTTTTTTTGTTTGTCTTTTTAACTACCAATCTTTCCCTTGCTTCCTCTTTCCCTTTTTTTCTCCCCTACTTCTCTCTTTCTATATGTTTAATAATATATTTTGAAACTTCATAATAACTTTACACCCTTCATTGAAAAAAATTGTAAGTGTTCTTTTTATACATTATAATACAATAGGCAGTTTCCATGCCACCTAAAATATCACAAAGGCCGAGGTCTTCCGATACGGTCTCTCCTCTAGACTTCTAAAGGTTTTAAAGTGCAAAATCTGACTTAAGTTTACATTTCTATTATTTTCCATGGATGAACAAAATCAACAAAGTGATTTCAAAACAGGCAGCACAAGGGAAGAGTAGGAAAAGCAAAGGCTGGTTGATCTGCAGATAGGTAGTAAGATCCTAAACTATCAGGAATTGACTGAGTAAAGCAAAGAGCCCTATTAAAATAATATAAATATTGCTGTTTTTAGGTGGCTACAGTGTCAATGGAGGATCTGGGGAAAATACTTATGGTCGGAAGTCGTTGGGGCAAGAGCTGAGGGTTAACAATGTGACCAGCCCTGAGTTCACCAGTATTCAGCATGGCAGTCGTGCGTTAGCCATCAAAGACATGAGGAAATCACAGGGTAAGATTGGGCAAACTGGGGACTAGTCACAGATGCCTCCACAAATACCCATATCCTCTCTTTTCCTGGACACCGCATTTCTTACTGATACTTTGCACACAAAAGAGTTCGTTCGTTTACTTCGAGTTGAAAAACATGCACATGTGATAATTGTTTGCACTCTTCCTCTCATGAACTGTTTCTTAGACTAAATTCTCACAGGAAAGCTTTTAATACTTCTTTAGGCTATACTTGCTAGGGAAGTCTCTTAAAATAAGATTAGAAGACTAGATAAGATTTAAAGAAATGATTTTCCTGATCATAGTGGATAATGAACATCTAGTATATGGTGGGCTCCTCTGTGGCAAGTCCTTGAACTCTAGGATCTATAGGGGATATGGGTATAAATGGAGTGGATGCTTTTCTAAAGTTAAATATGATGATAACCACCTTCTGTCTTATAACAGCCTCACTGTATAGGTAAAGTGCCTTGAATATCAGATGATTAAAGATAATGATCATTGTTTTTCTAAAAGAAATTTATTTTGTTGGTGAAGCTAAGTATGAAATCAGGATTTCTCATTTACATACTTTGTTGGTTATACTCAGTCTTTGGACATCTAGTTTTTGATCATTTGCTTCCACAGGGGCGTGTGTATATGTCTGTGTTTTGTGTATCTTGGTGAATATCCTTATGTATATAGCTGCTTTTCTTTGCATAAAAAAAATATTTCCTTTGAATAAATTTTTCAGAAGTGGACCCACTAGTTAAAGGGGATGCTGTTTCTTAAAAGTGTTTGAAGTCCTTGGCTTTGGTATGATAGAAGTTAGAAAGTGACTCCAAAGCTGATTTCGTTCAGTTCTTTCTTCTCTGAGGCTCAGAGTTCAGTAGTTTGCTAGTGGCAGAATTGTAAACAGAGCCTCGATTTCCTGGCTTGTAACCTAATGATGGTTTTTGTGTCCGTCTTTACTAAAATACTCAATGGGCTAAGGATTTGAAAAAGAATCTTTTTCCTTCTCTCAGATGTTGTAATAATTTCTTTTATTGTTAAATCTTTTCTATGCCTTAGAAATTAAACTATCAAACCCTTTAATATGGTTTGTTTTTCTTGCACATTGGTTAATCATTAAATAGCACAGCTAAAAATTTCAAAAGAAAAATTTGGTACTTAAATGTATTTTTATTGGCAATGTCCAGCATTGTTTGAGCATTTTGCTTGTTCTTGTCATGAAAAAATAGAGGGAAGAATAGTTCCGGTTTGCTACTTCCCTGGTGGCATCATGCCTTGCACATGGTAGGTGGTAATTAGACATTTGCTGAACTGAATGTGTGATTGCAGTTCACAAAAGCTTTGTCTTAGGAAAATAATGATAATGTGAACAAGAGACTTCCCTCCACTGAATACCAAGTGAGAAACAGAAGCATATAGCCTCTTTCTGCCTGGTTTGGACTTATCCCTAACCTGTAGAAGTCTTTTACCTGTATTCATATTCTTTACCTGAATATTGAAAAGAGTTTGGAACAAATCTGAAGAAAGTAATTTCTAAGCCGTTCTTTTTTCTCTCTCAGCTGGTCCTCTGGAATGAAGTGTTTGCTTAGGTTTCTCTGTTTTGAGGCTCTGCTTTGTGCCTTGCAGTCTGCTGGAATTTGGCTTATCGTGACAAAACGTGCGATGGGACCTGCATTCAGTTGAAGTTTTATTGTTTAGTGGACTGTGATTTTTGATGTACTTGAAAATATTTGGGCTCTAACGTTTCTGTTTATACTCAATGGGTAACGTGTTTATTTTCACAGAGCGATCGATGTCTTATTCTGAGGAGTCTCGACTGTCAAATCTTCTTCGGAGGATCACCCGGGAAGACGACAGAGACCGAAGACTGGCTACTGTAAAGCAGTTGAAAGAATTTATTCAGCAACCAGAAAATAAGCTGGTGTGTACAGTCTGGACATTGTGATAACTTTTGTGTTTCCATAATAAAGTAGATAATGCTATCTAGAGTGGTTTAAAAAGGGAAAAGCTTTGCTTCTTAAGAAAAATTACAAGGGTTCCTTATTCTAGGTTATTAATTTGGCTTATATTTATAATGATTGATAATTTGATGACCCTGATATGTAATTCATCTGCCATTGGTGGATCCACACTGCTGTCTTCTATAATAAAGTGCTTTTAACCTTTAATACATTTTTTATTCCGTTGTCCTCAGAAGTTTATTTTCTGTATGCCAGGGCAGACAAGGTCTTTTTTTTTTTTTTTAAGTTTTTATTTATTTATTTGAGAGAAAGAGTATGATTGGTGGGAGGAGCAGAGGGAGAGGGAGAAGCACACTCCCCACTGAGCAGGGAGTCCATTGGAAGGAACTCTATGGGAGGGATCTCCATCCTGGGACTCTGGGATCATGACCTGACCCGAAGGCAGACATTTAACCAACTGAGCCACGCAGACACCTGTATGTTTTTGTTTTTTATATGTGGAATTGGAATGGAGAGTATGTATTTTATTCATGGGTAGATATGATCAAGGCTAAATAAATGGAAAAACTCTTGAAAGAAAAAAAGTTCAAGAGCAGTTAAAGATTTCTTTCCACTCTGAGTAATTCTAATGTGAAATTAAGAACTTGATATAATGTAGAAAAAAATTAATGAGAATGGTATGGTGAGCCAAATAATGCTTGATTCAATGCAGGTTTTCTGCCTCCCCCCTGCCCCCCCCTTGCGCTATTTTATTATGAAAAAAAAATCTTTTTTTTTGTTTTTTAGAGATTGTATTTATTTTTCGAGAGAGAGAGAGAGAGAGAGAGAGAGAGGGGTAGAGGATGATCAGGGAGGAGAGGGAGAAGCAGGCTTCCTACTGAGCTGAAGGCAGATGCCTAATCCAACTGAGCCACCCAGGCACCCTGAAAATTTTCAAATCTTTTTTTTTTTTTTTAATTTTCAAATCTGTAGCAAGTTGAAATTGAATATCATATGTCTGACATCTAAATTCTGTCACTAACGTTTTATCATGTTGCTTTGTCATGAATCTGTTCACCTGTTCATCAGTATCTCTTTTTAATGCATTTTGGAGTAAATAAAACAAGCTTTTTGAGTTTATTTTTTTCTTTGATGATCATGGCATTACATAGGAATGGATAAATTTCTTTTGGAATCTGGAAAGAAATTTGTAATACTCCTGATCTGTGCTATTTGGGGACTGGGAATAATAAGAAAAGGAAGATGTGCTGTTTGATTAGAATTTGGAAGGGAACACAAGTAAAAAGTACACAATGTTATTGAAAGTATAGGAATTTGAAGTTTTTATACTTTTTTTTTTAGGTACTAGTTAAACAATTGGATAATATCTTGGCTGCTGTACATGATGTGCTTAATGAAAGGTAAGTAATGGGTAATTTTTAAGACAAATATATTTTTAGAAATTATTTAGAAATATATAAGATAAACCCATTGGTGGCTGCATTTATGAATATCTGCTTAATGTTTCACTGGGTTCTCCTGCTGTCTTTATCTGTGTTAAAGTATTTATATGTTAATTATTCAATACAAATGGAATCCACTTGAAAGGAAATGCCTTTTTTTTCTTTTTTTCTATTTGTCAACATGATGGAGTAATTGAGCATTGAATTGTGGAATGCCATAAACTCTTAATACAGGCATGAATGAGTGCAATTAACTTTGTAAACTAGAGAATTTTGAAACTGCTTAGAGAATAGAGGTGAAAGGGAGCTTCCTTCTTTGGGCAACAGTGGATTCAGACCACCTGCACTACGAGGCTACTGGGGTTCTCCACAAAGGTGTGCAGTCTGTTCTTCGTGTGGGGATTCTCAAAGAATTGCAGTGTTGGAAAGCACCAAAAACTCATCTCAGCAGGTCTCGAACCTTACTGCTTTTTGATGGTTTCATTTTATATAGTTAGTTATTAATATACTTAAATCAGTGCTGTTATCCTGTTAAGTTTGTTGTGCTTTAACTAGTACCATTTCCTGTTTTATAGTCCTTACCTACTGAATACTACATTGTATGTAGTTATTTGTACTGTGTTTTATCTGATCCTTTGGTGCTGCCCTTTTCTGTGAATTATTTAATGTAGCTTGAGATGGATTTTGAAGCCTAAATTTTAGTATTTCTGGGCCTTTCCTTACTGTTTGTGAATAATTGATTCTGTAAAAGAAAATCTAATCTCTTGGGCACTGTGGGATAGAGAGAGTAGAGAGCATATTTAAAGATAAAATTTCAATCTTTTATGTAGTTTGAATAGAAAATTTAAAAAATCGTTGAAGACATTCTTTTGTAAAATGTGTCATTCTTGCCATCTTTGAAAGCTTAAGCCTTTTGTGTGTTTTGTTTTGTTTGCATTGAAATAAACACAGTAGCAAATTGCTTCAGGAGTTGAGACAGGAGGGAGCTTGCTGTCTTGGCCTTCTTTGTGCTTCTCTGAGCTATGAGGCTGAGAAGATCTTCAAATGGATTTTTAGCAAATTTAGCTCATCTGCAAAAGATGAAGTTAAACTACTCTACTTATGTGCCACCTACAAAGCATTAGAGACTGTGGGAGAAAAGAAAGCCTTTTCATCTGTAATGCAGGTAAGACTGAGGGGGAAAATTGATGCATTTGGGAAGAAAATTGTCCTTAACAATTTTCCAGCAATGTTTTTGGAAGGAAACTTGGAGCAGGTAAACTTAGAATAGGGGTTATCTCCTGATAGTAAATATGATAGAGATAACATTTCTCTTTCTGAGTTTGAGTTAAAGGGTACAAATTAAAAGTAGACTTAAAATAAGATTTTTCTCTTTTTGCTTTTTGAACCTTTCCTTTGAACTTGCTTAGTACTAGAATCACTTGTAAATTTTAAAATAGAGACTTGGTGAGGACAGCTGGATAGGACTTTTTTGAGGAAGATAAAAACTGAACAACACAACTCATTCTAGGCCTTTTTAGATTTGATAAAATGTCAGAAATTCTTATTCCAAATGATATAAAATAATTTTGTATAAATGAAAACCGGCCCTACATAGCTTTATTTCACTTTTGTGTAACTGTATATATTAAAAGATCATTTTCAGTTAAAGCAATTAAATTTTCTATTAAGCAGTGTTCTTAAAAATTAGGGTTTGATATGTTTTTAGAGTGTCAAATATCTTTCATTTATATGTGCTCTTTACAATTCATGAGATGCTTTAAGTCGCTTTAAAAAAGTTATATTCTGTTTTTGAATATAACTATTTTTATTGATTATAGAGGTTATATGAAAAATTTTGGGAACTAGTCAGAAAATTATAACTAAATATCATAACACCAAATTGGACTTATTCTGCACATAGTTTTTTATTTTGAACATTTTCAAATCCACAGGAAAACAGGTAGACCAGTACAATAAATACCCATATATCCTTTATCTAGATCTGTCACGTACTAACATTTTGTTACACTTGTTTTATTTCTACACACAAAGGCATGCATATTTTTTTTGAACCATATGAAAATAAATTACACACGAAGTTCACCCTATAATACTTTAACATGCAACTCCTAAGAATAAGGCTATTCTCTTTTATTTATTTATTCATGAGAGACACAGAGAGGGAGAGAGAGAAAGAGGCAGAGACACAGGCAGAGGGAGAAGTAGGCTCCGTGCAGGGAGCCTGACCTGGGACTTGATCCCAGGTCTCCAGGATCACACCCTGAGCTGCAGGCGGCGCTAAACCAGGGCTGCCAGGCTATTCTCTTATATAACAAAAAAATTGTCATACCTAAGAAAATTAATTTTATTACATAATGCAGTCCATATTCAAACTTCAGCTCTTAAGATATCTTTTATAACTTTTGTCTCACCTGACCCAGGATTCCGTCAAGACTCGCATATTGTTTGGTGCTGTGCCTGTTTGATCTCTATTAATTAGAATGGTTCACACCTTTTTTGTCCCTCTTAATTGTTTTATGTTCTACTTTCTGGGTTTGTCTGATTGCTCTTTCCTGATTTTAAACCTTTTGGTCACGAATACTTCCTGAGTTCATCCTTACTGTTGCATCACACCAGCCAGACACAAAACTTCAGATTGTCTTCTTGTCAGAGATAAAAGGGTTTGATCACCTGGTTAAGGTGATGACCACTAGAGTGGACTTTCCATTGTGGAGGCTTCTTTTTCTCCTTTTGTAATTAGTAATCTGGGCATGATACCTTGAGACCTTCTGAATATCCTGTTTTTAGTTATATTTCACTCAGTGATTTTGGCACCCATTCATTTTCTGTATCTATATAGATTATAACATTGTGTGAAATGTTAGATGCCTTTCCAGTTCTAGCATTTTTTCTGTAGTGATAACCTCATTCTTTTATAAAGAAGAGCTTTCCTTTTTTAGGAAAAAATGGTTTCTAATAGTTGTAAAATATTCTATCCGTGACATGCTATATATTTGTTTAAAAAAATATATCTATATATAAAGATAACATGAACTGCATGTCTGTCATTCATGTGTTGAGGTCATACTTATTTTCTCCAAATCATTCAAATTTGAAGCCTGTACTAATATCCTAAAGCATAAATTATATAAAATTTGCTATAAATTTTGAATTGGAAAATAATTGTGGTACTTTAAGGAAAAGTTTTCCAAGCAAATCTTAATTTTTGTTCTTGAAAGTTAATCAAGTCTGTGATATTAAAGAGAGCACTTAGGAATAATGTGAACAGGCATTACTTAGGAATAATACTAAGAGACATTTAATAGGAGGAAACTATTTATTTTCAGCCTAATCTTGGTGGAATGAAATGTTTTTAACTTACTTTTGAGTTAAAACTGTAGACTTTATTTTCTTTGGTATCATAATAAATTTTTATTTATTTATTTATTTTAAACATTTACTTATTCATGGGGAAGAGAGAGAGAGGCAGAAGGAGAAGCAGGCTCGATGCAGGGAGCCCCAACATGGGACTCGATTCCAGGACTCCAGGATCATGCCCTGGCCTGAAGGTGGCGCTAAACCGCTGAGCCACCAGGGAATCCCCTCATAATCGGTTTTAGATAGTCACTTTTATTTATTTATTTGTTTTTAATTTATTTATTTATGAGAGACAGAGAGAGAGAGAGAGAGAGAGAGAGAGAGAGGCAGAGACACAGGCAGAGAGAAGCAGGCTTCATGCAGGGAACCCGACGTGGGACTCGATCCCGGGTCTCCAGGATCAGGCCCTGGGCTGAAGGCGGCGTTAAACCACTGAGCCACCCGGGCTGCCCAGATAGTCACTTTTAAATAATGAACCCAACATACTTGTTTTCTTCCTGTTTTGTTGAATATTCATGGTTTATAACTTTTATTTTTTAGCTTGTAATGACCAGCCTACAGTCCATTCTTGAAAATGTGGATACACCAGAATTACTTTGCAAATGTGTTAAGTGCATTCTTTTGGTGGCTCGATGTTACCCTCACATTTTCAGCACTAATTTTAGGGTGAGTTCCCTGATTCTCCCTGTTCATATGATGCTGTGAAGGATTGGTTGTGTGTCTAAGGACCTTGGGGATCAGAGGGAAAACAAAGCTTCTGCTTCTTGGATTGTAATCAGTATCAGTAATGCTTGAGGGTCTAGGATAGAATGGAACAATAATATTGTTTTTGTATATACCATCTGTACTTTCTGACATTAATACCTTAAGATATGTTAAAAAAATATTTCCTCAAGGTCATAAACAAAGATCCATTATTCTCTTCCTCTGCCCTCCCCCTTTCTAAATTTGTATAATATCAAATAGGTATAACACAGATGCTTTTTCTAGGATTTCTTAACCTGAAATGGTCCACAGGAGGAATAGCAGTTAGACCTTAAAATGATTAGCCCTTTTCTCTTGTCTCCACCCAGGATACAGTTGATATATTAGTTGGATGGCATATAGATCATACTCAGAAACCTTCGCTCACACAGCAGGTGTCTGGTAAGTTACTCAGTATATGCCAGTCATTTAAATATTGTCGAAGGAGCTCTCGTTCCTCAAAGTCCAGCTATTAATACTATTTCTTTCATAATGTGAGAGAAATAATTGCTTCACAGAAATATTTTGGTTATTATAAATGAACATTACTTGTTAGCAGAATTTGCCCTTTCAAAGGAAGATTGTATACTTTGTAGTAGGCAGGGGAGAGTAAATACAGATTGTAATGTTGCATCTGTGAGAAATTAAAAGGACTTACCTTGAGTCATTTGTAGTGTGGCTGGTGGCAGGAGATACTACATGTAGTGGCAGTGTACTTAAATGTGGAATGAAAGATCCTGGGTATTTGTGACTCATTTTTCTGGTCATTAAAAAAAAAACAAATGGATCAGTTTGAGGAAACATCTAAATAATTTTATTTTATTATTTTTGAGTTAAGTGAGTGACTAGCATGACTGATTTGGACATTTCAGCTTATTTCAGGTGCTAGAGTTTTTCTTAGTTTAATTGGTGCAGTGGACTTCTGAAAATAGGAAGGTGAGGGAGATTCTGACCCATTTCCACTGGGGAGATTAGTGGACACCTTTCGTAGGTAGTTGGGGTTCTGTAGTAGAAAGCCAGGCTGGTGGTAGATTGTGGCATTTTAGTCTAAGCCATGTGTATATTGACAATATAGATATTAAATCTGCTGAAAAATAAGGACTAAGGTAACACGTTTTAATTTTTGGAGACTGTTTATTTTTGCAGGATTAAAAGAGACCTTGGTTAATCATGATCAGCATGTTTAACAGTTAATAGTCCTAATTTTATGAAAGAGGGCATGTCTTTAAGGGTATGCAACTTGAAAACCAGACAGCTTTAAAAACAGGGCTTATAGATGTACTTTTAATTTGGATTTTTTGTTTTTTTCTACTTTAAAATTTTTTTATGATTCCTAGGGTGGTTGCAGAGTTTGGAGCCGTTTTGGGTAGCTGATCTTGCATTTTCTACCACTCTTCTTGGTCAGTTTCTGGAGGACATGGAAGCTTATGCTGAGGTGAGTATGTAAAAAACTAAGTTATTTCTTAAAATTTCAGTTAAGAACAAAACAAAAGTCTTAGTGCTAGATTTATTTTTATTTTTTATTTAATTTTATTATTTTGAAAGATTTTATTTATTTGAGAGAGTGTGTGTGCAAGGTGGGGATGGGGCAGAAGGAGAGCAGCTCCCTGCGAAGAGATGAGGGGCTTCATTCCAGGACCCTGGGATCATGACCTGAGTGGAAGGCAGACGGAAGACAGATGCTTAACTGACTGAGCCACCCAAGTGCCCCTCATATTACTACTGCTAGATTTGTTTTAAAAGAATCAGACCACTTGACATTTAATAGAAATTAAAAGACCGTTGCAATATTTAAATTTTTTAAAGATTTTTTTTTAAGTTACTAGCTGAATTACCAGAAAGATTGAAAGAAAATAGGCCTCATTTTGCAAAGCTTGAAATAATCCTGCTAGCTAGTAGTTTTCTGAAGACATGTTCTATAGTTCATTTTTATTTTTTAATACCACAAGAATATTAAAAGGTGAATTGAAGTTATATAAAAGCCCTTGAAGACTTTTCTCTTACATATATTGGGGATCTTGGATTGTGCTTTGGAGGATAAGACTTAGCTTCAGCAAATTTTTGCGGCTATAGAAGCACAGTATGGCAACTTCAAGGGTGCTGCTGACGCCTCTGGTATTGGGTCTTGGCTTTCTAGCCCACTGGTGGTCATGATTTAAATCGGCCATGTTCTGTGAGAACTTCTTTGTGGTTTTTCCCTCTCAGATCTACCATGATTCTTGATTGGTGTGCGAGGCTCCTATAATGATTGGTTGATTGATTTTTAAAGATTTTATTTATTTATTTGAGAGAAAGAGAGCCTGAGAAGAGGGGGTTGCGGGAAGGGAGAGAGGCAGAGGTTGGAGGAGAAGGAGATTCCTGGCTGAGCAGGGAGCCTGACCTGGGGCTTGATCCCAGGACTCTGGGATCATGACCTGATCTGAAGGTAAATGCTTAACTCACTGAGCCACCCTGATGCCCCTCTTAAGATGATTTAGCTTCCTCTATGGTATTTCTCGCCTTTCAGAGAAGAGTTTTTTCCTTCCAGGAAGGAAGACATTGCTTCTGCATGTTTCTTTGCCTCCACACCTCTAGTGCACTTTTAAAGCTGATCTACCTTCCTGGAGCTGCCCATTCTAGTTTGTAGAAACTTTCCCCCTTGGTGTCCATTAGATGTAATTCTCTTCAGTTATTTTGGTGCTTAATTATATGTAGATGTATGTTGGTTCTAGTATTCCATTTTTTGCTAATCTTTTCCTTTGAGTATGTTTCCTTAACTAGATTTATAGGTGAGATTTTCTAATTTTTTTTAACACTTTTCCATTTGCCCTTCTTGTGCATAATATTGGTGTGGGAATCTTACTGAATTGAGTGGCTCAAAGAATACCTGGGATAAAATTTTAGCAGAAACTGATTCAGGAATGGCAAAAGTTTCTGGCTCTTTTATACCTATACATGACAGCATGTGTATTAGAATTTCTTTTTCTTTTCTTTTTTTTTTTTTTTTTTAAGATTTATTTTTTTATTCATGAGGGACACACAGAGAGGCAGAGACACACAGGAAGAGGGAGAAGCAGGCTCCATGCAGGGAGCCTGACGTGGGACTTGATCCTGGAGACCTGGGATCATGCCCTGGGCTGAAAGCGGCACTAAACCGCTGAGCCTCCCAGGCTGCCCTATGTACTAGAGTTTATTTTTCCCTAATACTTTCTGAGTTGGTATAAGAAATTATTAATCTACTGAGGTTACTTTTGCCTTATTTAAGTATTGGCTTGTTAATTAGTGAAGTAAAATTTACTTTTATATTTAGATTATGTTTCCTTTTTTAATTTAATTTGATTTTATTTTTTGGTGGTAGGGGCAGAGGGGTGGGGAAAGAGAGAATCTTAAGCAGGCTCCATGCTCAGCACAGAGCCCAATGTGGGGCTTAGCCTCACAATCCTGAGGTCATGACTTGAACCAAAATTGAGAGTTGGGTGCTTAATCCACCAAACCACCCAGGTATCCTTCATGTTTCTTTTTTTCTGATAGGCTAAACTTCCTTTATTTGCCAAAAATAAAGTTAGTTGACTTAAAAATTGGTGGGAGTTTTTTGTTTATTTTGAATAATGTCCTACTTAGAGTGCTGTGATTTCACATCTAGGACCTCAGCCATGTGGCCTCTGGGGAGTCAGTGGATGAAGATGTTCCTCCTCCATCAGTGTCGTTACCAAAGCTGGCTGCACTTCTTCGGGTGTTCAGTACTGTAGTGAGGAGCATTGGGGAACGCTTCAGCCCAATTCGGGGTCCTCCAATTACTGAGGCATATGTAACAGATGTAAGTGTCTTTAGGAGTTTTAAGTATCATTCAAAAATAAAATTGTTGTGTATTATAAATGGTTCTCTTCACCTAATGAACATGTTATTAACCCTTCATTTGTTCAGTATGTATGTACATAATGTAGCTGCTTTCTTAAATTGCCAGTAAAGTAAGGAATCCTATTATATCCTGTCCTATCCACCCCTCTATATGAGAGAATGGCTACACTGCATTTTAAAATGGGCATACATTTTTTTCTAATGAGATCCTTTATAGATTCATTATTTTTTTAAATATCCTTTTAATATCTTTTGTTTTTAAAGATTTATTTATTTATTTATTTATTTATTTATTTATTTATTTATTCATTCATTCATTCATTCATTCATTCATTCACGAGGGACACAGAGAGAGGCAGAGATATAGGTAGAGGGAGACGTCCCCACAGGCAACCCCGGAATCATGCCCTGAGCTGGAGGCACTCAACTGCTAGCCACCCAGGTGTCCCTCCTTTTAAAATCTTTAAAAATAATGTTTTAATTTTTCCTTTTTAGTTATTGAGTTTAGTTTTTCAGTATGTTAAGAATTAACACGCTACAGATCAAAAATAATTTTTTCTGAGTATGACAGGATGAAACAACTTTGATAGCCTGAACATCCAAGATTATAAAGATACAGGAACTTATAAAAATATGTAGTCATCTGAGATCAGTTATAAAAAGCAGCATGATTACCACACTTCAGCAGCCCCAAACATTAGGTGCGTTATATAACAGTCCTAGTGAGTGGCTCAGTGTATTAGACATGAGAAATGAACCTGTCACTGTACTGTGTTTGAATGAGAAAGGTAAAATACACATGATACAGTCATAAAATACTAAATGATTAAAATTTTACTGTTAGAAGTCTAACTTTTATTTACTTCTGTTGCACATGTTGCCAAATAAAATAGGATATAAATGATATATGTAATTTTTGGTAAGTTAATTCTGTATTTCAGCAGAAATGTCAGATCCTACACATAATTAAAACCACATCTTGATATTTTAAACCTGAAAAACATGATCTAATATCTTCATTTTATTTATTCCTTTCAAAAAGTTGGTGGTTTGATGACCTTGTCAGTGTTGAAATAAAGGCAGTAAACTCAGATGTAAAACGAACAAAAACAGTTATTTCCCAGGATAGTTGTATAAATGTATTCTTTCATGAAGGTCTTTTAGGCCTTTTTAACCTATAGGTTTAAAGCCAAATGTTGTGACTGTTGAATATTATGGAAAAATACATACTGTATCACTTTTGTTTTTTAACTTTATTAGAAATTTAGTATGTTAATACTATTATAGTTTCGTGGGGTTTTGGGTTGGAAATTACATGATTTTCATAATCCTCAAATAGGTATATGTTATGAATGAGACTTAACTTTTCAAAGAGACCATCAGTACATGAACTTTTATAAGCTAAGGTGACTTGGATGTTTAATTTTAAAAGAGTGATTACCAAAAGCCCAAGTGCTTTATTGCAGAAAGATTATTCTCATGGCAGGTTATTCCCATGTTAATACCATTAATGTTCTAAGTACTGGTGTATTTCATGAATATAAAAATTCTGAGCTTCAATCATTTGGTCACTTTGACGAGGGGAGGGAGGATGATAGACATTGGGTATAAGAGAAACAGAGAATGGCAAATTCCATTTTCTGTCACTGTAGTACTTAAGAATTTTTTAGGCAAGATCATTTTTGTGTATTTTACTAAAGATACCCTTATTCAGCCACTGAGAGCTAGAATATTAAGAGACTGCTGACAAAGCAGGCAGTTAATTTTCAGTTGAAACTGCATTAAATAGAAACTATTTTCTTGCTCTGTGGAAGCATGTGAATTTTTTTAAAAAGCTCCTTGTTCTCCCCATTTGCAGGTTCTGTACAGAGTAATGAGATGTGTGACGGCTGCAAACCAAGTGTTTTTTTCTGAGGCTGTGTTGACAGCTGCTAATGAGTGTGTTGGTGTTTTGCTCGGCAGCTTGGATCCTAGCATGACTATACATTGTGACATGGTCATTACATATGGATTAGATCAACTGGAGAACTGCCAGACTTGTGGTACAGATTATATCATCTCAGTCTTGAATTTACTCACTTTGGTATGTGAATTCTTTTATGTTGCTTTTTAATATGTTGTTTATTTAGGCCCTTAAATTTAAAATTAGTGTGGAAGAAATGAAGGCCTTTTTTTTTAAAGAGTGCATTAATTAGTCTTATTTATATAATCTAGTTTGCTTTTGCTGTTACCTGTTTACTTTTAGTGTTTGAATTCAGTGTAGCTTTTATTCCTTTTTCTCTTTTTTTTTCTTTTTTGATGAAACATTATCTTTCATATAAGACTACCTAGTATTCCTGATAAACATTATACGGGTATTTGATAGCTATTTTGAAAGACCTTGTTACGTTTTGTTTCCCATATGAAACTTGTTTCATAGTTTTTATTCCTAGCCATAAATATTCCCCTTCCTCTCCACCTTTTATTATGGACATTTTTGAAGAATATTTTTTAAAAAAACAGAATAGTATAATGAATCTCTGTAATACTTAATACTGTTTCTATAAGGAGAAACACATGGTCCATCTGGTTTCATCTAGGCCTCTCTGATTCTCTGCCTCTTCTGGATTGTTTTAAAGCAAATTATAGGTGATAGTCTGCTGAACATTTCTGCCAAAGTTATGGCAGAATGTAACTTTCTTTACCAACGTAAAAAAAAAAGCCATATTTAAGTGTAGATACGTGTATCCTGTTTAGGTATCTAGACCTTTTACTATCACAGTGTTAAGGCCTTAAAATATAATTTAGATCTATTACTTTTTTAATTAATATTTTTCAGAGCAGCTTTTAGGTTCACAGGAAAATTTGAGCCTTAAGTACACAGTTCCCATACCCTCTTCCACAATAGTTTCCCTCATTATTAACATCTTCCTTTAGTGTGGTACATTTATTACAGTTGATGAGCCACATTGACCTGTTACTAAACTGAGGTCCATAGTTTACCTTAGAGTTCATGCTCTGGATTGTACATTCTGTGGGTTTCGGCAAATGAATAATGCCACATATTCATTATTCTAGTATCCTACAGAATAGTTTCACTGCCCTAAAAATCCCTTATGCTCTGCCTATTCATCCCTCCCGAATCCCAGGTAACTGCATATTTTTAGTGTCTTCCTAGTTTTGCCTTTTCCAGAATGTCGCATCTTTGGGATCATATGGCTTGAAGCTGTGTCACATGGGCTTCTTTCAGTTAGCGTTACACATTTAATACACATTTAAGGCTCTTCCATGTCCTATTGTATTTTGATAGCTCACTTCTTTTTATTCTTTTAGATTGTTGAACAGATAAATACAAAATTGCCATCATCATTTGTAGAAAAACTGTTCATACCATCATCGAAACTACTATTTTTGCGTTATCATAAAGAAAAGGAGGTAAGTAATGCACTGACAGAGACTTAGTAACTCCAGTCATTGAAGAGTTGACTCAAGTTGCTTTTACTAGGCTACATAAATGAAATGAGATGATAAATATTGGTTTTAAAACCATAGTGATTATGATTCACTTAACTTAGTCTTTATTAATTGTCAGATTGATGTGCCAGACATTCTTTTCAGATTTCCATAATTTGTTTTTAAGTTTGCTTTATTAAAATTTCATAAAACAAGCAACTATTTATAAAGTTACAAATTGAGAAGTACTGTATATGTTACAAATTTCATTATTAGCTTCTCAGTCAACTCCCAGATAAAACTACTATAGGCTTTCCAAGTAGATGGAGGAAAATTAATTTTAATAAATTGCTCTTTTTATGTGTGTTTTAATACTGGCTGTTTTTAAAAAAATGGCCTTTTAAGAACTTTTAATTTAGAGGATCCTTTCTTTGTAATAAATTCTTGAAGGTTTTTATTAACTTACTGACACGTGTAGGTTCCCTAATGTTGGTTTTTTTTTTTAAAAAATTGGGTCTTAAAAAAAAATTGGGTCTTTAGTGTTCTAGACAGTAAATTTATCAATCTTAAAGTTGATTTGTACCACATCATGTAGTTAGTAATTTTATTTACCATGTAATTATCTCTTTTCTGAATTCTCTCTTTAAAGGTTGTTGCCGTAGCCCATGCTGTTTATCAAGCAGTGCTCAGCCTGAAGAATATTCCTGTTTTGGAGACTGCCTATAAATTAATTTTGGGGGAAATGACTTGTGCCCTAAACAACCTGCTACATAGTCTACAACTTCCTGATGCCTGCTCTGAAATAAAACATGAGGCTTTTAAAAATCATGTATTCAATGTAGACAATGCAAAATTTGTAGTTATATTTGACCTCAGTGCCCTAACTACAATTGGAAATGCCAAAAACTCCCTAATTGGGGTGAGTCTATACTTGGAGTGCTTTGTTTTATTCTCACTTAAGCCTCTCTTGATTGCATGTGTATCTGTGTTCTTTACTACTGTTATGTCAGTGTTTCCATAGTCACTGTAGAACACACTGCTTAAGTAGGACATACCTGGATCATTAAAACTAACAGGAATATTTACTTGCCATTGTATTTCGTTTTCTCTTTCCTTGCCTTGACTACCCTTATAAGACATTTTAGGTTTGTTTTATTTTTAAGAAAATGTCTTTTATGAATTTGTATGTATTCTAGCATGCTTATAAAAAAATTCGTCAACATTTTCCACAGCTCAGATTTGTGTAGTTCTTTTAATATGCAGCTCTTTCTTCCCTGCTTTTCTCTTCACTAATGTTAGTGCTTACATATGGTCTTCCTTTTTTTTGACTGCCTACTTTTCTCTAGGAATATTCATACATTCTTTCTTTATGGAAAAGAATAAAAATTTCTTTCCTTTAAGAAATTTGAAGTGATCTTGCTTTTGATTGGTAATTATTGCTTTGATTTATTTTCCTTTTTTGTTAGACTTTGCAGGATCGGAAGACATTACTTCTAATAAAAAATAATAGGATATAATTCAGGGACAAAGTTTTCTAAGAAAGAAGAGAGGGAAAAGTCAAGTCTTGATGTTTAGATCTGCATGCCCTCCTGATCAGATTGCCTTGTGTCACTTTACATGGAGCAGTTCCTCCCCTCACTGCTAGTCATGGCTGATGTTGGAAGGCTACAGTAAAGTGAACTCAGACCCTAAGATTTCGTTGTTAATGAATTCACATTGTATATAGATTTGAGGAAGTTTTTGTCTTGCAGTCTGGAAGCAGGGAGAGGGGATTAGGAAGCAGCAGTTAGGTGGAATGGAGTACATTAGCAGCAGAAGGAAAAGAGAAGGATGGGAAAGGCTTAAGAGTGGCAAGATGATGGGACTCCTGGGTAGGTCAGCAGTTGAGCATCTGCCTTTGGCTCAGGGCGTGATCTCGGAGTCCCAGATCTAGTCCCGCATGGGGCTCCCTGCATGGAGCCTGCTTCTCCCTCTGCCTGTCTCTCTGCCTCTCTCTCTCTATGTCTCTCTCATGAATAAACAAATAAAATCTTAAAAAAAAAGAGTGGCAAGATGTGTCTTTTTTCTCGTTGGACAGGGCACCTTGCCATGGTAGTCTATGGAAAATTGAGGAGATACAATCTAATACACTGGAGGGTACAGAGGATTTTGTTTAGGTCAGGAATCAGTAGACTACAATCTGTGGGCCAAATACAGCTCAATATGTATTTTTTTCTCTCTCTCTCTCTTTTTTTTTTTTTTTATTTATGATAGTCACAGAGAGGGGGGGGGGCAGAGACACAGGCAGAGGGATAAGCAGGCTCCATGCACTGGGAACCCGACGTGGGATTCGATCCCAGGTCTCCAGGATCGCGCCCTGGGCCAAAGGCAGGCGCCAAACCACTGCGCCACCCAGGGATCCCTTTTTCTCTCTTTTTAAGAAAATATCTTTATGATTTTTAATTCACTTATCACACAATTCACATTTAATGTGTATAGTTCAGGGACACCTGGGTGACTCAGTTGATGAAGTGTCAGACTCTCGATTTCAGTTAAGGTCATATTTGAGCCACCCCGACGTCTTTGTCGTTTTAACTTTTAAAAATGTATACACATATTTTGAAGTGTATCTTGGAGGAGTCACACATTTGTGTTTTTTTTGTACATCATCAGATGTGGGCACTGTCTCCAACCGTCTTTGCCCTGCTGAGCAAGAATCTAATGATTGTGCATGGTGACCTGGCTGTTCACTTCCCTGCCATTCAGTATGCTGTGCTCTACACATTGTATTCTCATTGTACCAGGTACTGGACTGTACAGATACTTGTAAACAGTTTTTTTTCATTTTTATAGGGGAGGATGGTATAGATTTTTAAAAATACGTGTTGATTTTAGAGTTGCCTTTTTTTTTTTTAAATTAGAGATGAAAACATGATTTTTCTTTTGTTTTCCAGGCACGATCACTTTATATCTAGTAGTCTTAGTTCTTCATCCCCATCTCTGTTTGATGGAGCTGTAATCAGTACTGTAACTACAGCTACAAAAAAACATTTCTCAATTATACTGAATCTCCTGGGAATATTGCTTAAGAAAGATAATCTTAACCAGGACACAAGGTAACTAAATAATATTTCCTAATATTAAGTATTCTTAACTTTTATTAACTTAGCTACATAATTTGAGGATAAAAAATCAAGATTTATGGAGGTGGTAGGGTAGAGCAGCTTCTTCGTTATGAAACACGTCAAAATACGGCTTTATTTAATCTGGGATTTCTTGTTCTTTCCCAAAAGAATGAAAAGAAACCTCCATGCCCTGCAATGTTTTGTAGAAAAATGTATCTATAGGGTTTTTTGTTTTTGTATTCTTTGCTACAACTTATGCTAGTTTGGGGGGAAGTATTCTTAAAAGGCATACAACTTTTTGACAAAGGAATTTCTGTAGTTTCAGTTTTTGTTTCTTGTTAGTTGAGATATTTAAAGACATCAAAAGCAATGTAAGAAGAGATTTTTCTTTCTTTTTTAATGTAAAATCAACTGGATATTTTGTATTTCAGGAAACTGTTAATGACTTGGGCTTTGGAAGTGGCTGTTTTAATGAAGAAGTCTGAAACATATGCACCTTTATTCTCTCTTCCATCTTTCCATAAATTTTGCAAAGGACTTTTAGCCAACAGTAAGATTCTGTAATTTTTAAAAATTTTGTTAATCTGCACATGAAAGAGGTCTTTGGTAATGAAATAGTCACTTGAACATTTTCATAACATGAATAATTCCCACCTCAATGGCAGGTGCATAATCTGTCTTAACTTTTTCTTATTCTTAATATGTAAATTGTTTTTAAATGATTGTCACATTTTTAAGCTCATATGAATGTTTGTACATTCCGTATACTTTTAAAATTTCTTTCAGAAAAAGGTTGGGGTGAAGAATAGTGACTTTAAGTGATTTGTTGAATGTGTCATTTTCTCGAATATTACTGCCAGTGAGGGTTCTAGGTGGTGCAGGGCCTAGTCCACAGGAGGCATTTACTGTTTGTTGAATAAGTGGATGGGTTCAGGATGTTCAGACATACTGGCATATGATTTCTTTTGGCGAGCTGAAAGTGTCTTTTAATTTTCAATAGCTCTTGTTGAAGATGTGAATATCTGTCTGCAAGCATGCAGCAGTCTACATGCTTTGTCCTCTTCTTTGCCGGACGATCTTTTACAGAGGTATGAACTAAAGATCTTATCTTCTGATTCTGGTCTTAATAACTTGGAACTGTTGCCACAATTATACTATCTCTTTCATTTTTTCATAGGTGTGTTGATGTTTGCCGTGTTCAACTTGTCCATAGTGGAACTCGTATTCGACAAGCATTTGGAAAGCTGTTGAAGTCGATTCCTTTAGATGTTGTCTTGAGGTATAACAATTGTGTTGGAACAAATACATCCCACTATTTTAACTGCCCAGTAGTCCTTTAGTTTGAAGGTACAAATTGTCTATTAGTGAATTAATATCACATCTTCTATGGCACTTCTCAGTGATTGAACAGCTGTCACAGGATCAAATTGGAGTCTAGAAGAAAGTAACAAAGTTTTTTATGTTTTATAAACTTAGAAGCTTATGATAAGTACTGAAAAATTTATATATATGGTGCCGAAATGTGTCTCATTAGTTATTTGAAAAATGCAACTGTAATCTTTATTGTTTTTGATTAATTTCCAAGTTGTAACAACATCTCTATTTTATGTTTATTTTTTATTTCTACATTTAGTTAGCAAGGAAATAGCCTATTTGTAGTATGAAGTAACCTTTTAACTAAAACATTTTGTGTAACAGTGACTTTATTTTCTATCTACAGCAATAACAATCACACAGAAATTCAAGAAATTTCTTTAGCGTTAAGAAGTCACATGAGCAAAGCACCAAGTAACACATTCCACCCACAAGATTTCTCTGATGTTATTAGTTTTATTTTGTATGGGAATTCTCACAGAACAGGGTAAGGTTTTCTTTGACTCCTTCATGTGGGAAAGTAACTTAAAAATACTTGAATATTTTGACCTTACACCCATTTTGAGGAGAAAATATGTCAGGAGTGGCAGAGTAGAAAGTGATATCTTTTCAAATGGGTTAATTTTATTTTCAGCAGTAGGAAGAATTGCTTGGAAGATAGTATCTGAAGAAGCAGAAATGGGCTTTGAGATGGAGTGATGAAATGTGTTTGACAGTTAACTGCTCTGACCTAGTCATGAATGCTTTGGGGAGAGGCCTGGGAACCTAGACATTCTGCAGATGCTTAGTTGCAGTGAATGTTTTATCCCAATAGCCATTTACCCCTAATAACCTATCCACACTATACCCCATCCTGTTTTAACTGTAAAAGACCTCCTCACAATGAAAGGTATGGATATAATTCTTCTCAGTATTAAAGGTTTTGCTTTTTTAGAGTAGGAACAATTGTAGTCCCTTTCTCATATTCCCTTGGAAAAAAACTTATTATTTTTTTAATGAAGTTGTCATTGTTAAATATGAAACTGCTTTTCCCAGGAAGGACAATTGGTTAGAAAGATTGTTCTATAGCTGCCAGAGACTGGATAAGCGTGACCAATCAACAATTCCCCGAAATCTTCTAAAGACAGATGCCGTCCTTTGGCAGTGGGCTATTTGGGAGGCAGCACAGTTCACTGTCCTCTCTAAGTTGAGAACCCCATTGGGCAGAGCTCAGGATACCTTCCAGACCATTGAAGGTAATCAGCTCTTTGTGCTTTTTCAGCCTTTGTGATACAAATACTTTCAAAACCTTATTATAGTAAGAAATAATTATCTTTGTTAACACAAAAATTTGAGAGTATATGCTTTGTTTTTCTTTAGTACTCTGTCAGCCTTTCAGGTACTATTTGTTAGAATAAACTTTCATTGAACAATTATGTTGACGACAACATGGTTGTCTACTTTTGTTCAAGAACTCGGGGATTTGTATAGGGAAAACATCTTTTCCCCTAAAATAAAAGATCTTTCCTGTTGGGAGTTTTGTTTTTAAATGATGGAAATACAACACTTGATAATTGTGAAATTATCTCAATTTCTAGAATCTTTAGATTTCTTTTAAATTTGGAATGCTGTCTTTGCTTTAAGGTATCATTAGAAGTCTCGCAGCTCACACGTTAAACCCTGATCAAGATGTTAGTCAGTGGACAACTGCAGACAATGATGAAGGCCACAGTAGCAACCAGCTTAGACTTGTTCTTCTTCTGCAGTACCTGGAAAATCTGGAGAAGTTAATGTATAATGCATATGAGGGGTGCGCTAATGCATTAACATCACCTCCCAAGGTTAGTTTCAGTGGGCTGAGCATTGCTTCGTAGCAGTTTCATGGGCAAGCCTGGCAGTGCGTGCAGAGCTGAAATTACAATACTCTTGTATATTTGAGACATCTAGCTAGAATCTTAACCAATCCTGAGCTGTTCTTTTTCTTTATTCTAAAGGTCATTAGGACTTTTTTTTATACTAATCGCCAAACTTGCCAAGACTGGCTGACACGGATCCGACTCTCCATTATGAGAGTTGGATTGTTGGCAGGCCAGCCTGCTGTGACAGTGAGACATGGCTTTGACTTGCTTACTGAAATGAAGACAAATCTATCTCAGGTAAAGTCTATTAAGAGTTAATTTTAAATCTGTTAATTAGAAAATTTTGAGCTTAATTCCTTTATGTGATTTAATCTATAGATGAAATATTAAAATTTCTATTCATTCAAAATTTCTATTTCAAAGATTTTGATTCAGTATTTTGTAAAAGCAGTAACTTCCAAAGTCACCTATTCATATTTTCTACTTAGAACACTGTCAAAATATATATTACTTATATTTAAGAAGCTGGAACTCTATAGGTAATTCTTAGAAATTTGTAGAAGAAATCTCATCATAATTATTTTTAAAGATTTTATTTATTTATTTGAGAGACCGAGGGAATGAGTAGGGGGTGGGGCAGAGGGAGAAGCCTGGGATCACGACCTGGGCCAAAGGCAGATGCTTAACTGACTGAGCCAGGTACCCCGCATCATAAATTTTAATAACTATATAATGTATAGGAAAGTGTATATAATTTATAATGTATGCAAAATATATGTAATAATGTTATAATATGTGGGGAAAGTGCTGGTTTATAAATGGATTCAATAAGTGGAATCCAAAAATAGCAAATGTTTATTAATTAGACATAGTATTGGGCAGCCTGGGTGGCTCAGCAGTTTAGCACTGCCTTCATCCCAAGGCGAGATCCTAGACACCCAGGATCAAGTCCCACATCAAGCTTCCTGCATGCAGCCTGCTTCTCTCTCTCTCTCTCTCTCTCTCTCTCTTTCTGTCTCTCATGAATAAATAAATAAAATCTTTAAAAAAATAGACACAGTATCAATAAGCAGTATTCAGACAAATTAATCCTCTTTTAATCCATGGTTATTTATATTTAATTTTTGCTTTATATTTATTTCATAGCCTACTCCTACAGATACCACAGTTTAAATGTTTGGGTGACTTTTTTAAGTTCAAGTCTTTGTAAAGACTGACACCCGTGCTGTTAACGGTGTGTCAGTTACCTTGTAGACACATTATAGGTAAAATTTCAAGAATTCTAAGCTAATAATGTAATATCGTTGTTGTAAAAATAATTATTAAGTATATTTGCCTTTAAGTGGGCTTAGATTGTGATCAGTAGTTGTCAATTTTTAATAGATATTTGAATTTTAATGGTATTCAGGTCTCTGATTAACTTTTCTGAATGAACTTTCAGGGGAGTGAATTGGAAGTAACCATCATGATGGTGGTAGAAGCACTGTGTGAGCTTCATTGTCCTGAAGCTATACAGGGAATTGCTGTGTGGTCCTCTTCCGTTGTTGGAAAGAATCTTCTCTGGATAAATTCAGTGGCCCAACAGGCAGAAGGGAGGTAAGTAGAATGGAAGGAAATAGATGATAGGATGTCTTTATATTTAACTCTTTTGTATTCCTGGCTAACATTGTTGTTAAGTGTTAGAACAGCTTTCTTCAGTTTCAGCAATTGAAACTTGTTTAAGTCACTTTCCAAGGAGTCATCTTCCGTCTGTTCTTTAATTACCAGGAAAACTTAGATGCCTCTCATTTATGGATTAGTAAGAAATCTTCCTTAAAATAAGATCTGCCAATTACTTGTTTTATAAATATTTTTTTCTTTTTTAGAGAGGGAGCAGGGAAGAGGGACAGAGGGAAGAGGAGAGAGAGAATCCCAAGCAGGCTCCATGCCTAGCACAGAGCCTGGATGTGGGGCTCGAGCTCATAACCATGAGATCATGGCTTGAGCCTAAATCAAGAGTCAGCCTCTTAACTGACTGAACCACGAAGCACTCCCTAGTCATTTTATAAATATTTTTGAACTTGATCCTTAATCAATAACCTTTCGTGTCAGAGTCTGGTACAAACTACCCTTTATGGCTAGAGTACTTGCTCATTAGCCCTGTGCACTCAGCATTTAAACCCGTTTGATTTCTCTAGGTAAATGAACATGACCATAATAGTCTTTATATATTTATGTCAGTTTTACCAAATCTAGAAAATGTAGGAAAAATAAATAACTGCTCATAATTCCATCTGCCATTGATAACTGTTAGTTTTGGTGTACATGCCTTTTTAGTTTTTTTTTCTTTCACATACAGGCTCTCCCCACTTTTCCCAGAAATAGCTGTGTTTCTGTTGGTTACCTCATTTTGCTTTTGTCACTCAGCAATATTTTAAAAAATATTTTGCTATGTTAAACATTCTATAATGTTATTTTTAATGACACAGTTGTATTTTTTGTGAGTGTGCCATAACTTAACATTCCTTATTCTTGGACAGTAAGGTTAGTTTTGATATTTTTTACTAATCTTAATGCACTATGGCACTTAACTCTTTATAGTTTACAGTTGTGTTTATTTTCTTTGAATTGACTCCTACAAGTTGGTTTACTAGAAGAAAGGCTACAGACCATAAGGCTTATGATACATTCCATTGCTAAGTTACTGTACAGAAAAGTGTTTCCAATTTATATCCTTAACAATAGAATAATAGGGGCACCTGGGTGGCTCAGTGGTTGAGCATCTGCCTTCGGAGCACGAGAATCACACCCTGAGCTGAAGACAGACACTCAACCTCTGAGCCACCCAGGTACCCCTATGAACTCTTTTTTTTTTTTTTTTAATTTATTCTTCTACCTAGCCTTTGTGTACACTGCGAGCAGGTACTTAATATTTTCTGTTATACTGCCTCTTTAAAAAAAGATTTTATTTATTTAAATAAAGACTTTGAATATTCATTACAGGTTTGAAAAGGCCTCTGTGGAGTACCAGGAGCACTTGTGTGCCATGACGGGTGTTGATTGCTGCATCTCCAGCTTCGACAAATCTGTTCTCACATTAGCCAACACCGGGCGTAACAGCGCCAGCCCCAAACATTCTCTGAATGGTGAGGATCCAGAATTTAAACAGTTACAGCCAGATAGTTTGTACTGATGATCTTACTTTTATATTTTTAGATTTCTTTGCTCTTCAAAGTATTTTAAACTGCCCTGGATATCTCTCTCTGTTTTATAAAATATATTCACTCAGGTGAATCCAGAAAAACGGTGCTGTCCAAGCCAACTGACTCTTCCCCTGAGGTCATAAATTATTTGGGAAATAAAGCCTGTGAGTGCTACATCTCGATTGCCGACTGGGCGGCTGTACAGGAGTGGCAGAATGCTGTCCACGACCTGAAGAAGACGACCAGCAGCACTTCTCTCAATCTGAAAGCTGATTTCAACTACATCAAGTAAGGACTTTTTTCAGTTAAATGAATTTTCAGTGGCTTTAAAGTCTTCCTCTGTGGCAGAAAAATATTTAAAATTGCTCATAGCTACTATTTTGTGAGATATTTGAAGTCTAAAAATACTGCTGAGAATGACCACAATGAGAAACCAACATTAGAGGTGAGGAAGGTATTTGTGCAGCTGGAAACCGGTCTTGTCCCTGCTGAAACAGTCATTTGGATTCTTAAAGCTTACAAAATATAAAGAGAAATTTGTTACTGTTTTAGAAAGAGTCACGTTTGATGACTGGTTTATTTGTTCTAAAGAGGGCAAAATGTATGAGCATTTGTAAATTAAATTCCCTTTCTTGTCTTTTTCTTCTCCTTGTTCCTCTGCTCATCTACTAATCCCTTAATTGGGGACGCCTGGCTGGCTCAGTTGGTAGAGTATGCGACTCTTGATCTTGGGGTCAAGAGTTCAAGTCCCACATTGGATATAGAGATTACTGAAATATTAAAATTAAAGAAAACTCCAAAAAATATGTAGTGAATTTAATCCCTTGATTCAAAATTTGTGTACCCCTAAGGGGCTGGGATACAGGGGTCATTAATAGTCCTTCCCATTGAGAAGCTGACTTTCTAGAGAGCAAATATGTTAATGGATAATTTCTCCTCTGAGCATGTGCTGTGTCAGTCAGCGGGGTGCAGCATTTCATGAAACAAATTCTGACCCTTGAGGAGCTCCTTTCTAGAAAAACACACCGACAAGGTTGGGAATGCCATCAGCATGACATTTGAGCAAAGACTTGAAAAAACAGATCTGATAAAAGCATAATGGAAACGCCCTAGAGGCCACTGTTAACTGAAGCAGAGTGAATAATAAGAGGTAAGGGTAGAGGGTAGATGAGAACTATGAGAAGGACTTTTGATTCCTAATAAGATAGAAAGTTGTAGATGAGATTTGAACAAGAAGCATGTCATGATCTGACTTCCTGGTTCACTCTGCTGTGTTGTGAAGAGGTGGATGGCAGGGGTGTTCCCATGTACACCATTAATCTGTGGGACAAAGGTAGAGGGGGAAAATAGACACTATTGAAGTAGGAGCACGGAGAACAAGGAGGTGTGTTTAAGGTGCATATGAAACATGCAGAGGAGATTGTTTCATAAGGAGTTAAGAATTGGATTTTGAACAAAGGAGAAAAGTCTAAGTAGAGAACGATTTGGGGGAATCACTAGCATGTAGGTGATAGTAAAAAGCCCTCTTTTCCCTCTCTACTCCAGAGCCTATGTAAGCCACAAAATTATACATAAAGCTCTGGGTGTGGGTGAATGCAAAGAAAAGAGGGCCAGGGTCAGAATCTTTACCAGCATCTTTGTTTTAGGAGGGGAGAGGAAACCATGGATAAAAATACAAAGACAGTGAGGAAGGAAGAGATGTAAGAGAACCAGACTCGGGTAAGAGAACCAGACTCGGGTAGTCAGTCTTGTCAGAAGCTCCAGAGACTGCACACAAGAAAAGCTTTGTAGAGTGAGGAGAAGCAGTCACGTTGATACTATGGAGTGAAGAAACTTGTCCTAACTTAGTTAGATACGAAAGCTTTTGATTTTCTATTTGAGTAGAAGTAGATTTTCGACCTGGATTAGACTACTTGGATAGTGAGTTTTTCATGAAGCCAGTGAGAGGAAACTGTGGCTGGAGGAGAATGTTGTATATTTACTTGAAGTATTGGAGAGATTAAGTGTTCTTTTAAGCTCAGGGGAAGGGGTGAGTAGAAAGCAGAGTTGAAGAAACATGATACTGTTGATTGAAGGATTAACTGGGCTCCACCTCTTCGCACCCAAGGAAAGCAGTTTGATATACACAGAGTTTTGGAAGCGGGTAGATGATGGATTAAGGGTAAGAAGAGAGGAAATGAAAGCCTGTGGGGCTCTGTGTGTGTTTGTGTGTATTTTGAGGAGTCAGTCATTAGCTGAGAATGTGAAGACATTGTAGAGCCTAGTGGAGATACAGGGAACCTGCCACTAGAGAAGACTCAGACCCCATACTGGCAGGAATGATAAGGATATTTCATCAAACCTGGCAGTTCATCAGTTGGGCTCACAATGAGAGGCATATGGTTGTCTTGGTCCAGGCTTGGAGCTTATAAGGGGGATGCAGATGCAGTCATTGATGTCCTGTTCCAGTGCTGGATTCAGGCTGCATTATAAGAGAGGGGACAGGAAAAGAGAGATTGAGAAACTGGAAAGGGACAGGCACTGTGAAAGGGACAGGAAAAGAGAGATTGAGAAACTGAGTTATCTTCTTGGTGGAAAGCTGCTGTAATAGGAATGGGAACAGAGTGAGTGATCTGAAAGTAGCAATAGTAGAGAGAGCTAGGAAAAGACCTCGTGTCTTAGCATTGATGCTACAGGACTAAAGGCGTTTCAGAGGTACCACAACTTTCAGATGACATAAGGAAATGGAAAGGAAGAGTTATTTGAAAGAAGAGAAACAGTCTTCATGAAACATGTAGAAGGGAGAAAAGGAGGGAGGCCAGCAGTGACAGGAGGCAAGATGAGGATGGAAGGCTGAGATAGGACAGGATGGGACAGTAGCCCTCCAGGGGCCTGGACTTTAAGTGGGGGATGGGACCACATAGTGAATTTAGAGCTAGCTTGGGGCGAATCAGATATTGGCATTGCCCTGCAGAGGTCTTTCAGTTTGTCGGATGGGACCCAGGGATAATAGGCTACAAAAACAGGAAGGAAACATGGAAGGTAAGTATGCTAAACTGGATGAATGACTATAGCTGTGGCTTTCTGGTTTGCCACTCCAATTTTAGTGCTAATTATTATTTTTTTAATATTTCAATTATTTATTCATGAGAGATCCGAGAGAGAGAGAGCATGCCAGAGACACAGGCAGAGGGAGAAGCAGGCTCCATGCAGGGAGCCCAATGCCCAGGTCTCTAGGATCACACCCCAGGCTGAAGACAGGGCCAAACCCTGGAGCCACCTGGGCTGCCCATTTTAGTGCTAATTAAACTGGTAGTCGCCTCTTCAAAATAGAAATAAGGGGATCCCTGGGTGGCTCAGCGGTTTAGCGCACCGCACGCCTTTGGCCCAGGGCGCGATCCTGGACTCCCGGGATTGAGTGCCGCATCAGGCTCCTGACAAGGAGCCTGCTTCTCCCTCTGCCTGTGTCTCTGCCTCTCTCTCTCTCTCTCTCTCTCTCTCTCTCTCTCGAATAAATAAATAAATAAAATCTTAAAAAACAAAAACAAAATAGAAATGATGGCCCACGTGGAAAGAACTTCAAGAGAATGCTGTGTAAACTGTGATGTCTTTTTCTAGAATTCTACTTTTTTTTAATGATGCCACAGACTGCATAGGTGTGATACAAACTAACTGGTATTCTAATTACAGATCACTAAGCAGTTTTGAATCTGGAGAATTTGTTGAATGTACTGAGCAATTAGAATTGTTACCAGGAGAAAATATCAATCTACTTGCTGGAGGATCAAAAGAGAAAATAGGTATTTGAAATAATAATCTTAGAGTTATATGTTTTATAGACAAGTTGTTCAAAATGTTTAGTATTTTACTGGAAAAAACTGGAAGTTTTTGTACATTTAATTTGGGGCAGAATCCTGCGTGAAGGAACACACTTAGGGCTGTTTTACTTATATTTGATTTGGCAAATGAAACAGTTTCAAGTAAAATTAAACTAAAAAAAGCTATTGTAAAACTTTGGGATTTATCTAGCCACGTTTGAAAAAATTTAAGCAGTGTTTAAGTGAAGTATTTTTCTTGACCTCTTAATGTGGTTTGTTAACTTCCACACCACAACTAGAACATTCTGTAAAATATTACACTAAATTTAGTACTGTGAGTAGTTTGCGTGTTAGCATTGAGTTGCTAGATTCAGTAAGATTTGCCCCTTTAAATGTAGGTTGGTTTACTGATTTTTTGAACTTTGGAAATCAGCTGTTGTGAGGCAGGTCTGAAATACAATTTCAGTTGTGGACTCTTAATTTTTATGTAGCTATCAGAAATGCTTAATCATAGTTTTCAGCTGCCTGAACTTAAATATGGAAGAATGTATTCATTGGCTATAACTTTTTAATACTGGCAAAATGTCTTATCAGTCTTATGCATTAAAAGCAAATTGACTTAATGGAATTTATTTAACTTCTGTAGATATGAAGAAACTGCTTCCTAACATGTTAAGTCCAGATCCAAGGGAACTTCAGAAATCCATTGAAGTTCAGTTGTTGAGAAGTTCTGTTTGTTTGGCAACTGCTTTAAACCACATAGAACAAGATCAGAAGTGGCAGTCCATAACTGAGTAAGTTTAATACTAAAGAAGATAATTTGCACTCTGTATACCATATGATAAATGTATGTACTGTGGATGAGTCAGTTACCAAATTGCTACAGTGTTAGTCATGATAGCTTCATTTTAGTTGTAGAGGTCATATGATAAGCTAATGTCAGTTGGCAACATATATAGAGTTGAAACTAAATAAACTGTAGAAATCCCCATAAGTGTGTCTTGACTTGCTTATGTCACTTTACTAAAGGATGGGCAGCTCCTTTTTCTTTCTCCTGCTTGGATGTCACTATGGTAGCATCCTGCCAAACTACCTCATCCCTTCAGTGATTACACAGGATGGAAAATCTCATTTATTAATTGACAGTAAATATTTTGTTTCAGAAACGTGGTGAAGTACTTGAAGCAAACCTCCCGCATAGCTATCGGACCACTGAGACTTTCTACTTTAACAGTTTCACAGTCTCTGCCAGTTCTCAGTACCTTACAGCTGTATTGCTCTTCTGCTTTGGAGAACACAGTTTCTAACAGACTTTCAACAGAGGTGTGTATTTGTGTATTCTTATCAGGCTATTCTGAACATTAATAGGCATTCGTGTAGAATTTTTGTTTTTTGAAGATTTTATTTATTTATTTATTTATTTATTTATTTATTTATTTATTTATTTATTTATTTATTTATTTATTTATGATTTTATTTATTCATGAAAGACACAGAGAAGAGGGGCAGAGACACAGGCAGAGAGAGAAGCAGGCTTCATGCAGGGAGCCCAGTGTGGGACTTGATCCCAGGACTCCAGGATCACAACCTGGGCCAAACGGAGGCAGTCGACCTCTGAGCCACCCAGGCATCCCATTTTATTTATTTATTTGAGAGAGCACACACACATGGAGAAGGATCGGAGGGAGAGAATCTCAGGCAGAGTCCCCACTGATCTTGAAGCCCAGTGTGGGGCTCGAGCCCAAGACCTGTGAGATCATGACCTGAGCCCAAACCAAGAGTCAGACACCTAACTGACTGAGCCACCCAGGCACCTGCCTTAAGACCTTATTGAATTTTTAAAGTAGCATTTGTAGCATTTAATGGACAAGGTAGTAAATTACGAAATCTAAAATGACGTTTTCAGGCACAATTTCATTTGAGAAGTGTGTGAGGCAGATGAAGGAACCTAGGTTACATCATTTCAAGGATGGCTAATTGCTTAATTTTTTTTCTTTTCAGAAGAAGTGTTGGCATATATAGATATATTTCCATTGACAGGTGTCAATGTTGTAAATTTTAGATTTGATTAAAACAGAGAGACTCTCAGGGGCATGTGGCTGGCTCAGTTGGTAGAGCATTGACTCTTGATCTCAGGGTCATGAGTTCAAGCCCCCCATTGGGCAAAGAGCTTACTTAGAAAAGTTAATAATGAGGACACCTCATTCTCCTCCCATACAGGCTAAAGTTTAACCAAAGATGAGCCCTTCCCTGGAGAATTATAATCTTTGAGAAACTGTTTATAAAACAGTAGTTTTGTGTTTTTCTGTAATTCAATTTCTGCTTTGTAGCGAATAGGCTGTTTATTTTTTATAAAAATGTTCTTTATTGATAAATTGGACTTGATAATCCTTTTTTTTCCTTTGCATAGCAAAGATTTTGCTCTTACTGTGTCTTAGAGTGTGTTCCCTCTTGTGTTAGAAGATACAGTGAAGGGGCGCCTGGGTGGCTCAGTGGTTGAGTGTCTGCCTTTGGCTCTGGTCAAGATCCCAGGGTCCTGGGATCGAGTTTCACGTGAGGCTCACTGCAGGGAGCCTGCTTCTTCGTCTGCCTATGCCTCTGCCTCTCTCTTTCTCTGTCTCTCATGAATAAAAAATCTTAAAAAAAAAAATACTTAAGAAAATATAGTGAATAAAGAAGAGAGTTTGATAAATAAGCCTGGAATAGCTGGCTTATGGGGGATGCAGCTTACCTTAACCTACAGTCATGTAAGGAGCTATTTACGTTAAGTAGTTTTGTTTTTTCTCTGGCAGGATTGTCTTATTCCACTCTTCAGTGAAGCCCTGCGTTCATGTAAACAGCATGATGTGAGGCCATGGATGCAGGCATTAAGATATACCATGTACCAGAGTCAGTTGTTGGAGAAGATAAAAGGTAATTAGGTTTTTTTTTAATAGTTTTGATTGAGATAAAATTTATACATTTTAAGTGTACAGTTCCATGAGTTTTGTTACATCTTCCTTCACCAATGCAACCACCAATCCAATCAAGTTACAGAAAATTTATCTTACCCCAAGAGGTTTCCTTATGCCTCTTCCCAGTCACCTCTCCCGTCTTTCCTGTCCTGGACAATCACTGATTTGTTTTCTATCACTGTAGATTAGACATGTCTTTACTAAAGTTTTATATAAATATAGTCATATAGCTCTCTGTGTCAGGCTTGTTTTGCTCAGCATTTTATTTTTAAGATTCCTCATTGTTGTGTGTAGTAGTACTATGATCCTGCTTGTTGTTGAGTACTGCCCATTCTATGGATATACCATAATTTATCTCTGGGTCTTTTGGTAGATATTGGAGTTATTTTAAAATTAGGACTATAATGTATAAAACTGCTATGAAATTCATATACAGGTCTCTGGGTGAACGGTTGTGTTTCTCTTGACTAAATGCCTACAAGTGCAATTAGTGGGTCACAGAGTTTAACATTAAAAATAGTTTGACATTTTCTTAGAAAGTATTTGTATATTTCTTCTGACATCTACATCCTTGGTAGTGTTGGTCTTTAATTTTAGTCACTGGCACCAGTGTATAATATTATCTCATTGTGGTTTTATTTGCATTTTCCTGGTGATTAATGAGATTGAGCATCTTTTCATTTGCATAGTGGCCATTGTATATCTTGCTTTGTTAAGTGTTCAAATCTTGCCCATTTTTAATCAAGTTGTAGACTTGTTTATTTATTCTGGATACAAGTTTTAAATGCTCCAAATGAATAGTTAGGGAAATAGTATTTTTTTAATTGGGAAATAGTATTTGTATAAATATCAGTTAAGTCTCTCTTTTTTTTAACTAGGTCTCATTTTTAAGAAAGAAATGTCTTTCGTGTTAAAGGGAATTAGCAATTTATTGCTTAAAAATAGAAAAGTTGCCAGAATTCTGTAGAATTTTCATTGAAAACTTGGTAGCTAAGGTTACTGAATACATTGGTGTATTAAATTTCAAGTAAGGAGGATGCCTGGGTAGTTCAGTGGTTGAGTGTCTGCTTTCATTCATTTGGGTGGTTCAGTGGTTGAGCATCTGCCTTTGGTTCGGGGCGTGATCTCATCCCGATATCAAATCCCACATCGGGTTTCCTGCGTGGAGTCTGCTTCTCCCTCTGCCTGTGTCTCTTCCTCTCTCTCTGTGTGTCTCATGAATAAATAAATAAAATCTTTTTTTTTTTAATAAAATCTTTAAAAAATAAATTTCAAGTAAGATTTTGCTGGGGTATGGACTTGCATTGCTGAGTGATTACTGGAAACTGTGACTCACCTGGATCCTCATTGCCATATACACTTGGGTTGGATCGTTAGTCCAGCATTTGCAAATGGAAGGACCTTAGGGCAAGTCATTAAACTTCTGTGTCACTTTTCCTTTTTTGGTTATTAGTATTGCCTTGCTCAGGAGATTTTTTTTTTTTTTTTATTAAGGATTGTAGGAAATGAGACAAGGCATATAAAAGCTGTAGCACAGAGCATACCATATAATAGGACTACAAATATCATTTTCTTTCTCATCTTTCTCTTATTGAACAAGTTTTAAAATTTGGAATAAAAAGTTAGTAACCCAGGGGTTATAGTTGGAGACAGAACTCTACTTCTCAATTTTTTTTCTTTCTTTAGCAAGTGCTTATGAAGTGTGTGCATTGTGCCAGGTATTGTGCTCGAAGTTGGGATGTAACAGTGAACAAGGCAAGCCTGTTTCTGGACTCTAAAGTCTAGTAGGGAAAACTGACATCAAACAAGGGCCAGCAATAAGATGCGCTGAATGGAAATACATGTGTATGATGCTAAAAGAACTGATAGCAAGGGCACCAATTTAATCCTAGGAATCAGAAAAGGATTTGGGGAGGAAGTAATATTTAAGCTGATACCTGAGGAAGTTGGGGATGAGAAGGAAGGCAGTTGGGAAAAACAAGTGAAGACCACTTGCAATAATGAAAGATTCATAGGTGACTCAGTTTGCCTAAAGGAGAGTGGGAAGAGAGGAAGCTGAAGGAGATGGAGATTGGGATGAAACGCAAGCCATCAGTGCCTTTCAAGGCAAGTTCAGGAGTTGAGGTTTTGTCGGAGGGGCAGTGGGAAGCCATTAAAGGGAAGTTAAACTGTAAGATGATTTCAGTTGCAGGTTAGTGAATGGACTAGAAGAGGATGGCAGGGCAGATAGATCAGTTAGGCTGAAGTTGCTCTAAAGGTAGCCAAGGTAGTGGCAGTAGAGATAGAAAAAAAAAATTAGAAAAGATAGGAGAGCTGCAAGTAAAGTCTTAAGATAACTGGCAGGCACCTGCTTAGGTAGCCAGTGCCTTTCCTTGAGAAAAGATAAACAGGGGAAGGAAATAGATTTGCAGGGTGGTAGAAAATGGATTCCTATCATAAATAAAAAAAAAAAAAAAAAGGGGATCCCTGGGTGGCGCAGCGGTTTGGTGCCTGCCTTTGGCCTAGGGCGCGATCCTGGAGACCCGGGATCGAATCCCACGTCAGGCTCCCAGTGCATGGAGCCTGCTTCTCCCTCTGCCTATGTCTCTGCCTCTCTCTCTCTCTCTGTGTGACTATCATAAATAAATAAAAAAAAAAAAAAAAAAAAAAGAAAATGGATTCCACTTGACACAGGTTAAAAGTGCCTGTGTCAAGGCACTTTTGTGTCAGGTTAAAATATCTGAGTGTAGGTGACTGGTAGGCAGGTGGGACTTGGATGTCGGTCTGCCTGGAGATAAAGATTCAAGAGTCACCAGCATTTGTATTAGTTGAAGCTATCAGAGCAGATGATATTGTCCAGGGAGAATATGCAGAGTGAGAAGATAAGAGAGCCTAGGACTGACCTTGAGGGCAACAATTTTAATAGATGGGTAGTGGACAAGGAGACTGAGGATTCTTCAGAAAGGTAAGAGTATACCAGGAGAGAATGGCATGATAGAAGGGCGGAGGGTACTTACACAAGAAGAAAGGGATCCTCATTCTCCACCCTTTGGCCTAGGCTCTCTTTCTCTCTGTCTCTCTCTCTCTCAAGATTGATTTATTTATTCATGAGAGGCACACAGGGAGAGGCAGAGGGAGAAGCAGGCTCTCTGCCGGGAGCCTGATGTGGAACTCTATCCCGGAACCCCAGGATCATGTCCTGAACCAAGGGCAGACACTCAACCACTGAGCCACAAACACATCCTGGCCTAGGCTCTTTACTAGTAAAAAAGATCCAGAAACTAAAATTAAAAGGCTAATTTTTTTTTGTCTAGCAGAAGATTTTTACTTTTTGTCTGCTTCATCATTTGCTTACATTTATTTCAGCTAACATGTATTGTTTATTGTATGCCAAGTACTATGTTAGGGATTTAAAGATAATGAAAAATGAGGGTATCCCTGGATGGCGCAGCGGTTTAGCGCCTGCCTTTGGCCCAGGGTGCGATCCTGGAGACTCGGGATCGAATCCCAAATTAGGCTCCCGGTGCGTGGAGCCTGCTTCTCCCTCTGCCTGTGTCTCTGCCTCTCTCTCTCTCTCTCTCTCTCTCTCTCTCTCTCTATCATAAATAAATAAATAAAAATAAATAAAAAAATACAGATAATGAAAAATGAGATTTTTATTTAGAGAGCTACTAGGTAAGGGTAAATGGTTGGGGAAGAATTTTTGGCCGTGTTTCTGTGCAGTCTGGGTTAGACCAATCATGGACTAATGAAATGTTTTCTTTTCTCCAGAACAAACGGTTCCAATTAGAAGCCATCTCATGGAATTAGGTCTGACAGCAGCAAAATTTGCTAGAAAACGAGGGAATGTGTCACTTGCAACAAGACTGTTGGCACAGTGTAGTGAGGTTCAGCTGGGAAAGACTACTACTGCACAGGATTTAGTCCAGCATTTTAAAAAACTGTCAACTCAAGGTCAAGTGGATGAGAAATGGGGGCCTGAACTTGACATTGAAAAAACCAAATTGCTATATACAGCAGGTTAGTAAAATGAACTGTGATTAGTGTATAACTAAAATGAAAATCATGTGTATTAATGCTAATGTGTATGATGTAAGGCAGTAATAGAAAAGATGTTTTTTTTTCAGCCATGACAGAACATTTGCATCTTGAATAATAAATTACCTGTAATTGATGTATCTCTATAATTTGGTGCTTTAACAAGAGGTAATTTTGTTATAGTTTATGAAAGTAAATATTTCTAGAGATCGTTGATTACCACTGAATTTACATTTTTATTTTACCCTGAAATACTGTTAACATTTGCATATAAGGCTTTTAAGGGCTAGTTTTTGGTTTTCTGTAGGTCAGTCAACACACGCAATGGAAATGTTGAGTTCTTGTGCCATATCTTTCTGCAAGTCTGCCAAAGCTGAATATGCAGTTGCCAAGTCAATTCTGACATTGGCTAAATGGATCCAGGCAGAATGGAAAGAAATTTCAGGGCAGCTGAAACAGGTTTACAGAGCTCAGCAACAGCAGAACTTCACCGGTCTTTCTACTCTGTCTAAAAACATACTCGCTTTAATAGAACTGCCATCTGTTAATACAATGGAAGAAGAGTATCCTCGGATTGAGAGTGAATCAACAGGTAGGATTTCTTTATTTTATTAGCTTTAAAATAGCTTTAAAATAGTCTTAGAAGTTATTTGTCCACTATTTTTAATGTTTACAATGTTATACTGGCTGTAATTTCCCACAAAAATTATTTGCATGGAACTTTATTATACAGTCTAGGAGAAATTAAGACACATATCTTTAGTATCTAATGCCACTGTGGATGCCACTTTAACTCTGCTCCTCAGGCGTTCCCAAGCCACAGTGCTTTTATGGACTTAGATGTTTTTGCTGGCAAGAAGGTCCAGTTCCAGACACCTAAATTCCACCTCACACTGGAAGGAACAAGATAGATACATAAGAGTATCCTATGGTCTCCTTGGCTGGTAGAGCCCAGAAACTATAGAAAGATGAAAGTTTCACATTCTGACACTAGTGCTAGTAATAGAAAGATACTTAACAAATAGGGTGGTTGATTCAGTGTTGGAGTGCTTGTTCTGTCCAGATTTTACAGAGCGGAGATATTTAACCTCCTTGCTGATTGAGAATATACTTCTATTTTGTTGTTATGAAGCCTAGGATTTTAATTGCTTAGGTTGGTCTTATAAAATAATTATAATCTACATGTTTTATAGTCTTGATATTCATAAGGGATGTGTCTTGTGATTATTATAAATCTTATATTGGCAAATTGCATTATAGCAGGTGATTTTTTCACTTCTAAACTGTGAGTAAAGATATTTTTACCTCATGAATTTCTGACTGAGATTGTATACTGATCACCTATAAATTATTTTTGCCAGAATGTCCAAGCTTAACCTAATTATGAGGAAAGAGCCAGTCATATCTAGAATTCAAGGCATTGTAAACACATCTAATTCCTGAAATGTTTTACATAAAGTTCAGTGTCATGAAAGATATTTATGTGGTTTGAAGGGTGCTAATTTAAGCTAATTTGGGAAGCTGAGTGATTGATTTCAATATATTAGCCTTTTAGAAAAGCATAGTAAAAATGTGTTCTTCAGTTTTTGTACTGTAATATTCTAGAACTTAGTGATAGTTTACAGATAATAAACTCTTAAAATGTTGATAGGAATGTCATTTGAAATTTATGAACGTGGGCAGCCCAGGTGGCTCAGCGGTTTAGCGCTGCCTTCAGCCGGGGGCGTGATCCTGGAGATCCAGGATCGAGTCCCACGTCGGGCTCCCTGCATGGAGCCTGCTTCTCCCTCTGCCTGTGTGTGTGTGTGTGTGTGTGTGTCTCTCTCTCTCTCTCTCTCTCTCTCTCTCTCTTTTTCTCTCTCTCTCTGTGTCTCATGAATAAAATAAAATCTTTAAAAAAATATTTGAAATTTATGAATGTAACATTGCTGAGTCCTTTCATTATTATTATTATTATTTATTTTATTTTATTTTATTTTATTTTTGTCCCTCATGGCAGTACATATTGGAGTTGGAGAACCTGACTTCATTTTGGGACAGTTGTATCACCTGTCTTCAGTACAGGCACCTGAAGTAGCCAAATCTTGGGCAGCATTGGCTAGTTGGGCTTATAGGTGGGGCAGAAAAGTGGTTGACAATGCCAGGTATGTATATTGAAATGTGTAATTTATTTAATGCATAGTAAAGCAGAGATTTAAAATGTCTGCTGACATGTTTTGGTAGCCAAAACTAATGACTTACTTATTTTTATAGTCAGGGAGAAGGTGTTCGTCTGCTGCCTAGAGAAAAATCTGAAGTTCAGAATCTGCTTCCAGACACTATAACTGAAGAAGAAAAAGAGAGAATATATGGTATTCTTGGACAGGCTGTGTGTCGACCAGCGGGGATTCAGGCAAGGAAAACATACAGTGTTTAGGACAAAGGGTGTCAAGATCACTGTTTTAATTCATTGATTTTGAGGAGATTGATTACATACTTGATTAAATGTTGAATGCAGTTTAGGCAGTTATTGTTACAAATCACAACTTTGAGTTTTAAGATGAAAGTGCATTATGATACTTTTTTGAGAAGAATGTAATACCTTGAGAAATTATTTCCTTAAGGTCCTGTTACAGTAGGTGAAGTTGGTTTTATGTGAATTAAATTTCTCTTTTGTTTTGATTAGAAATTAGGTTCTTAACACTAGCTTGGGACCTTTTAAAGTACACCAGTGCCTGAATACCACTCCAGATATTCTGAGTGGGACATGGGTATATATATATTTAAGCTTACTAGGTGATTACAATTCATAGCTAGAGTTGAAAGCTAATAGACTAAATGAGCTGTAGGATTTATAGCTATAGGATTTCACCTCAGAATTCTCTTAATTCTAGAATGTTACTGCTATTGAGTACTTAAGAGACTTTAAAAGTTTGGATTTTATTTCATAGGCTAAGCTGTACTGACTCATCTTGCTCTACACTTCAGCATGTATCATGTCTGCCAAAGCTGGTATTATGTATGTGCCCTTTACTATAAAGAGAGTTAAATCTGTTGTGAGTGAATTCTGTATATATTCAAGCCTCAAATTTTTGAAAAGATTAAATTTAATGTTCTCCAGGCAGAATATTATGTTGTAACTTAGAAGCATTTAAAGTACCAAAAAACAGTCTTTTACCCTTTGTTAGTAAATCAGTAAATACATCATACAGAGGAGCATATTGACATTTAGCAAGTGTAAGGCTAAATGTGAAGTAACTTAATTTTTCATAAATGAGAAAAATGCTTTCATAGGATAGGAAAATCATGTATCTCCCCTCCCTCCCCCCTTTTCTGTTTGTATTAAAACAAATAGCACTTTATGCCCACATTTTCTTCAGGATGAAGATATAACGCTTCAGATAACAGAAAACGAAGATAACGAGGAAGATGACATGGTTGAGGTTATCTGGCGTCAGCTAATCTCAAGCTGCCCATGGCTTTCAGAACTTGATGACAGTGCAACAGAAGGAGTTATTAAAGTGTGGAGGAAGGTTGTAGATAGAATCTTCAGCCTGTACAAGCTGTCTTGTAGTGCATATTTTACTTTCCTCAAACTCAACGCTGGTCAGGTTAGTAGCACAATGTTCAGTTCTAAGAATATGTATTTGACATTTCTTTCCTAGTAAATGAAAACAGTATTCTTATTTCTGCCTTTCATCTTTCACCCTTAGGTTCCTTTAGATGAAGATGACCCGAGGCTACATTTAAGTCACAGAGCCGAGCAGAGTACTGATGATGTGATTGTGATGGCCACACTGCGCTTACTCAGATTGCTCGTTAAACATGCTGGCGAACTTAGGCAGTATCTGGAACATGGCTTGGAAACAACACCTACTGCTCCATGGAGAGGTAACAGTCTAAGTAAAACGTTTCAAGAAAAATTATTTCTAGGTAGGACATGTAGAACAATAAAAAAAAAAAAGTGGTAGTTCCTTTGTTATTTTAATGTGTTATAGAATAGCTACATTAGTTGATAGGACACCACAAACTGTGTGTTACATACTCTTCTTCCCCACCTTTTAGAGAACTGGAATGCTGAGAGGCTGCACCTTTATGTTTACAACATGAATTTTGGAGACAGTGATGAAAATAAGTTTCAATTTTTTTTGTATGCCCTTTTAAAAATTTTTCTTTTACAGGCATTAATAGAAAATACATTTTGTCAGAACATTGTTGAATTGCTCTGCATTTTGATTATGGCTCTGTACCCTAACCAAACTTAAAATCAAGAACTATTGTTAAGGTTCTTTGTTACCACAGGGAGAAGTGTGAGGCCCTTAGAACCAATCCTAAAGTAACAAAACAAAAAAACTGATCTCAACAAACATCAGGTTTTTGCTTTTGCATCTGCTGTGTTGACAGTTTTTAATAACTTTAAAGTATCATCCTTTCTTCTTATCCTGAAGGAATTATTCCACAGCTTTTCTCACGCTTAAACCACCCTGAAGTATATGTGCGACAAAGTATCTGTAATCTCCTTTGCCGAGTGGCTCAAGATTCCCCGCATCTCATATTGTACCCTGCAATCGTGGGGACCATATCACTCAGTACTGAATCACAGGCTTCAGGTATGAAGTATTAAAATACTGCTACTTTAAGTGTAATTATTTTGCAGATAATGTCTGTCAGGTAACTGTTTTTGAGCTTTCTGTTACAGAGTTGATGGAGTTTGTGTTTTTTTTCAATAATAACTATTTTTTTTAAAAAAACCATTTTATTTATTCATAGAGACACAGAGAGAGAGAGAGATGCAGAGACACAGGCAGAGGGAGAAGCAGGCTCCATGCAGGGAGCCTGATGTGGGACTCGATCTGGGTCTCCAGGATCACGCCCTGGGCTGAAGGTGGTGCTAAACCCACTGAGCCACCAGGGCTGCCCAATAATAACTATTGTTTACTGAGGTAGTAACTCCTGTGTCTGGCACTAGGGGATGGTCTTACAGTAACCCATTTAGGCTTAGGGAAATTGAGTCAGTGCTCTTGGGTTCACTGATGAGCTGAGTAAAGGTGGATGAGAATGCAACTAAACTCTAGCTCTAGACTCTGGCTGCAGGACAACTCTATTTGATGAAACTCAATTTTTTTCCATTTATGTTCTAGTTGCTTATAATATTAATAAATAGAAAAGTTTACCTTGTGAAAAGGCAAAATATCCATGATCTTTGGTTAATTTAATGCATGGAAGGCAAATTAGTTGAATCAAATAATTACCAATGTTTTCCTTAATTCAACATTCACACATAGGAGAAACATCCAAAGTGTACCTTATTCTTCCATTTTCTTGTAGGAAATAAGTTTTCCTCTGCAATTCCAACTTTGCTTGGCAATATTCAAGGAGAAGAATTGCTGGTTTCTGAATGTGAGGGAGGAAGCCCTCCTGCTTCTCAGGATAGCAATAAGGATGAACCTAAAAGTGGATTAAATGAAGACCAAGCCATGATGCAGGATTGCTACAGCAAAATTGTAGATAAGCTGTCCTCTGCAAACCCAACTATGGTGTTACAGGTACAAAACACAATTCATATGTTGTTAAATAGTTTTTATTATACTTCTCCCTCTCCCTCAAAGCCCCTAAAAACAAAACCCATAAAAAAATTGTTACAGGAAATGATATCTGAAGAACAGAAAGGTTTTTAGAGTAATTGAAATTGGCTTTACAATTCAGTTTTGGTTTTATAAATCTGTATTGATAGAATACCATACAGTGAATCAAGGATCTCTGAACGTATAAAGAACAAAAGATGCCCACATGGAACTTGTAATTTCAGGTGTTAACTGTGCTGTGTGTAAACTTGTAGATGAGCATATTCGAATGTACCATGTGCAGGTTCAGATGCTTGTGGCTGAGCTGCGCAGGGTCACTGTTCTCTGGGATGAGCTGTGGTTGGGAGTTCTGTTACAGCAACACATGTATGTCCTGAGACGGATTCAGCAGCTGGAAGATGAGGTGAAGAGAGTCCAGAACAACAACACCTTACGCAAGTATGTTTTCATACACTTTTACTCAGAAAATGAAGCTCATCCATCCCATTTTAGTGTAAAATAAACAAAACATAAAATTTGTTATTTTAGCCAATTTTAAGTGTATGATTCAATCACATTAAGTATATGTATGGTGTTATGCAACCATCACTACTGTACAGTTCAGACACTTATTCATCCCAAACATAAGTTCTGTACCCACTGAACACTAACCTTCCATTGCCCCTTAACACTAGTCCCTCTTTATCACTGTTCTATTTCTTGTCTCTGAATTTGACTACTCTTGAGTACCTCATGTAAGTGTAATCCAAGGTGTTTGTTCCTTTTTGTCTGGCTTCTTAGTGTGTGTGTGTTTTTTTTTTAAGATTTTATTTATTTATTCACGAGAGACAGAGAGGCAGAGACATAGGCAGAGAGAGAAGCAGGCTGCATGTAGGGAGCCCGATGTGGGACTCGATCCCAGGACTCCAGGATCACTCCCTGGGCAGAAGGCAGGTGCTCAACTGCTGAGCCACCCAGGCGTCCCTACTTAGTGAGTTTTGAAGGTTCATCCATGTTGTGGCATTATTAGAATTTTCTTCCTTGGGGATCCCTGGGTGGCGCAGCAGTTTGGCGCCTGCCTTTGGCCCAGGGCACGATCCTGGAGACCCAGGATCGAATCCCACATCGGGCTCCCGGTGCATTGAGCCTGCTTCTCCCTCTGCCTGTGTCTCTGCCTCTCTCTCTCTCTGTGGCTATCATAAATAAAAATTAAAAAAAAAAGAATTTTCTTCCTTTTGTTACTGAGGTAGTATTCCATTGTATGAATATACCACATTTTATTTTGCAGTCATCTGTCATGGACATTTGGATTGCTCCTACCTTTTGGCTATCAAGAATAATATTTTTATGAACATTAGTGTACAAGTATCCATTTGACTCCCTGTTTTCAGTTATTTGTGTGTATGATCCAGTAGATTTGCCTAGGTCATATTGTTGCTCTTTAACTTACAGAGGAACCATGAAACTATTTTCCTGCACCAGTTTACATTCCCACAAAAAGTGCATCAGTGTTCCAGTTTCTCCATATACTTGACCGTATTTGTTGTTTCTTGTTTAATATAGTAGCCATCTTTTTTTTTTTTTTTAAGATTTTATTTATTCATGAGAGACATAGGGAGAGAGGTGGGGGGGCGGGCAGGCAGAGACACAGGCCGAGGGAGGTGCAGGCTCCATGCAGGGAGCCCGACTTGGGACTCGATCCCGGGTCTCCAGGATCACGCTCTGGACCGAAGGCGGTGCTGCTAAACCGCTGAGCCACTGGGGCTGCCCTATAGTAGCCATCCTAATGAGTGTGAAGTGGTATCTCGTGGTTTTGACTTGCATTTCCCTAATGACTAATAATGTTGAGCATCTTTTTAAGAAAAGATTTTTATTTATTTGAGAGAGAGAGCACCGCGTGCGCACACACTCGTGCACACAGGCGAACGCGAGGAGCATGGCGGGCAGAGGCAGAGAGGAACCAGACTCTCTGCTGGGCAGGGAGCCTGATGTAAGGCTCAATCACAGAACCTCAGGATCATGACCTGAGCCAAAGCCAGATGCTTAATGTACTGAGCCACCCAGGTGCCACTTTGTGTGCCTTTTGATCATTTGAAGATCTTTGGAGAAATGTCTATTCGATCTTTTGCCCATTTTCAAATTGGGTTTGGAGGTTTTGTTGTTACTGAGTTTTGTTGTTATGCTCTGTATTCTGGATATTAACCACTTTTCAGATACATGATTTACAAAGAAAATGTGCATTCTTTTCACTCTCTTAATAGTGTCTTTTGATGCACATAAGTTGAGTTTCATCTAGTAGTCCAGTTTTTCTGTTTTATTCTTTTGTTGTGTATGCTTTGTGCCATATCCGGGAAATCATTGCCAAATCCAGTGTCCAGAAGCCTTTCCCCTACATTTTTTTCTAAGAGTTTTAGGGCTTAAGTTAAGGTCTCTGATCCATTTTGAGGTGTTTTTTTTTTTTTTTTTCCTCATAATAGTATAAGGAAGGTAAGGGTCCACTTCATTCTTTTGCAAATGGATATCCAATTTTCCCAGCACCAATTGTTTACAAGCTGCTTCTTTCATGTGCTGGATGTTTTACAATGCTTTGTTAGTAAGTTATTGTGCTACTATCTTATTTATTTTAGCTTATTCTTTGATATTGTTTACTTATACCAGATGCATTTAATCTGTTTCATGTTTGTAAAACTCTTTATGTCTTCCTGATCAGAGAAGAGAAGATTGCAATCATGCGGGAAAAGCACACGGCTTTGATGAAGCCCATTGTGTTTGCTTTGGAGCATGTAAGGAGCATCACCGCAGCCCCTGCAGAAACACCTCATGAAAAGTGGTTTCAGGATAACTATGGTGATGCAATTGAAAATGCTCTTGAAAAGCTAAAGACACCATCAAATCCTGCAAAGCCTGGAAGCAGCTGGATTCCATTTAAAGAGGTACAGAAAAATCTCAAGAATGCTACTAAAAATGGGAAATTCAGTATGAGATAAAAATTTTAAAATGAGGACTCTCCTTACTTGGAATGTGAGAGAAGATTTTGTAAGCCCATGACCAGTTGCTTATACGGAATGTAGAGAGAGGTGTTTTTTTTGTTTTTTTTTTTTAATTTTTTTTTTTTAATTTTTATTTATTCATGATAGAAAGAGAGAGAGAGAGAGAGAGAGAGGCAGAGACACAGGCAGAGGGAGAAGCAGGCTCCATGCACCGGGAGCCCGACGTGGGATTCGATCCCGGGTCTCCAGGATCGCGCCCTGGGCCAAAGGCAGGCGCCATACCGCTGCGCCACCCAGGGATCCCCTAGAGAGAGGTGTTATGTTCATTTTGAGAATTTGAGAGCAAATGGGCCTCAGACAGCAAACTTTTATCTATAGAGAATTCACATTAGGGATGAATATACTGTAAGAAATTAGTCAAGGAAGGGGTCTGGCATTTAACTAAATATTGACGGCTTGCTTTATTCATAAAATCTTATAAAATTTAGTCTTGTGCCTCTGTAGTTTTTCTTATGCATGGGTATTAAATATTTTTAACAGACAAAATATTCACATTGACAACATCAATTTTTTAAAATTTTTTAAAGACTTTATTTATTTATTCATGAGAGGCACAGAGAGAGCGAGAGGCAGAGACACAGGCAGAGGGAGAAGCAGGCTCCATGCAGGGAGCCAGATGTGTGGGAATCGATCCCGGGACTCCAGGATCATGCCCTAGGCCGAAGGCAGGCACTAAACCACTGAGCCACCCAGGGATACCTGACAACATCAATTTTTATAAGTAACTGAAAATTCTCCATAGGCTATTTGGGGATGATTAGCATATTTAAATATTTGAGACTCCCTTTATGTTTTGGTACCCTTAATTCCTTATTTTCTTTGGTTTTTATTTGGTATAGCAACAGCACCATTATTTGGGGAGCCTGTTTATTACCTTGTAGCTTTTTCTTTTTTTTTTAATCCTTTTGCTATCCCTTACCTTTATTGCTTCTGATTTCCTAACTTTAGAAATGAGAAAAGTATTACAAGGTAACGGTGTAGAAACAAAGAGTACACCTGACTTTAATAACTGCAATCTGGAGGAAACTAGAGTAAATGCTAAATTCATAGGAAATAGCTAGAAGAACAAGACTAGAACACTAACATGAAGTATGAAATTTATTAGGTGTGGCCTAGCCAAAACTTGTTTGTGTTCCAGCAGCAGTTTCTTGCTTCTTTGTCTCCTTTTCAATAAATCAACTAAGAAAACCAGAGGAAGACATAGGAGGAATACTTTTTTTTAAAAAAATAATTTTTATTTATTGATGCATTTCTAAAGGATATATTGTTTAGTTTCTGTTTTAAAACTTCATTTAGGAGGATCCCTGGGTGGCGCAGCAGTTTGGCGCCTGCCTTTGGCCCAGGGTGCGATCTTGGAGACCCGGGATCGAATCCCACGTCGGGCTCCCTGCATGGAGCCTGCTTCTCCCTCTATGACTATCATAAATAAATAAAATCTTTAAAAAAATAAAAAATAAAAATAAAACTTCATTTAGGGCAGCCCCAGTGGCGCAGCAGTTTAGCGCCGCCTGCAGCCCAGGGCATGATCCTGGAGACCCTGGATCAAGTCCCTCGTGGGGCTCTCTGTATGATACCTGCTTCTCCCTCTGCCTGTGTCTCTGCCTCTTTGTCTCTGTCTGTGTGACTATCATGAATAAATAAATAAATAAAATCTTAAAAAAAAATAAAATAAAATAAAACTTCATTTATATGTATATATGCAAGTATGTGTTTATTGCATAATTGATGGGTCAGCATTAGGGTTTTTTTCTTTACGATTTATCCATGTTTTTCTTTTTTCTTTTTTTCTTTTTATTTATTTATTTAAGAGACCGAGGGACCCCTGGGTGGCTCAGTGGTTGAGCATCTGCCTTTGGCTCAGGGTGTGATCCCAGAGTCCACAAGTTCCACATCGGATTCCCATGGGGAGCCTGCTTCTCCCTCTGCCTATGTCTCTGCCTCTCTCTCTCTCTGTGTCTCATGAGTAAATAAAAAAGAATCTTTAAAAAAGAGCAGAAATGGGGAGGGCCAGGGGGAGAGAGAGAAGCAGAAACCCCACTAAACAGGGAGCCTGACGCCAGGCTGGATTCAGGACCCTGGGATCATGACCTGAACCAAAGGTAGAAGCTTAACTGACTGACCCTCCCAGGTGCCACAGTTCACCCGTATTTTGTATGCAGCTGAACATTGATCTAATAATGGGAAAATGTTAGTTTATCCATTCTCCTTTCTGTGGATACTTGGGGTGTTTCCAGTTGTTTTTTTCCTTTTATGGAACAAAACTTGCTGAGGATTGATTAAAAACTTCTCATGTGAAAGCAGAACTCAGAATTCATTAGTTCAGGTGCACATTATTAAGTTAGCTTATAAGTAGGAATACAACCTTACATGTGATCCACTCCCTGTGAGTTATTAGAGGGGGTTGTGGTCTTATTCTGTATATTTTGAAGTCAGAGTTCTAAATTGTTACCAACTTTTCAGGTGGTTTCTAAGGGTACATATACTTGATAGCCAATAGGTGTCAAAGTTATATGAATTAGGACATAATTGATTGGTTTTCACATTGATCAAATATAGCTTAGCAGTGGGGAGTTAATTTCCTACCAGCCCTGAATTTAGTGCTTTCCTTCCATCTGCTCTGATTGCATTGGTTGTTTGGACAGAGAAGCAGAGATGGGTCTGAACAAGGTAGAAATCACCTAGGTCATATCAGCACACCAGTAGTTGCTCTCTTGGAATGGCCCAAATATGTAACATGAAATTAAATTTAGGAATTACAATGTGAAGTTATCTGTATTGGTGTTTTTTTTTCCATTGGTATTTTAAGTTTACTTTTATGCCAAAGTGAATGTGAAATAAGTACTGCAGTGATAACATAAACTCCTCCCACCCCCATCTTATGAATATAGATAATGCTGAGTTTGCAACAGAGAGCACAGAAACGTGCAAGTTATATCTTGCGTCTTGAAGAAATCAGCCCGTGGCTGGCTGCCATGACTAACACTGAAATTGCTCTTCCTGGAGAAGTATCAGCTAGAGACACTGTCACAATCCACAGTGTGGGCGGAACCATCACCATCTTACCTACCAAAACCAAGCCAAAGAAACTGCTCTTTCTAGGGTCAGATGGCAAGAGCTATCCGTATCTCTTCAAAGGTGGGATTTAAAAGAAAAGCCTTAATTTGATTATGAATGCTTTGCGTGTGTTTGTGCTGGGAGAGGATTGTTCCAGGTGTATAGCCATGGTGTCTTATATCCTCTGTGATTTTGAATGGAAATGGTTGGAGACTGGGTAGTTAAGATTTTCCATTTCCTACTGTCTCTTTGCTTAAGAACTTATATAAGAACTGAGGAACAGCTAATAATGCTAGTGTCTAATACCTTGCAACTGAACGGAATGTTCTCTAATGCTTGCATTGCGCTTCCTTGGCTCTCAGTTCTTGACTGCTACTGCTAATTGAGAGGAGATGCAAAAGTGATATGTTTGTAATCCCATCCCCACCATTGCACTTAGCCCCATTTGGTCACCACTATAGCTACTTTAAATTTTATTTCCATAGGATTGGAAGATTTACATCTGGATGAGAGAATAATGCAGTTCCTGTCTATTGTGAATACCATGTTTGCTACAATCAATCGCCAGGAAACACCCCGTTTCCATGCCCGACACTATTCTGTAACACCACTAGGAACCCGATCAGGACTAATCCAGTGGGTGGATGGAGCCACACCCTTATTTGGTCTTTACAAACGATGGCAACAACGGGAAGCTGCTTTACAAGCACAGAAGGTTGATAAATTTCAAATATACATGTACCTTTATTTGAATTTCCATAAAAACATATATTAGTCTCTTGTTCTCTGTGAAATACTCCTTAGGCTTACTGTTTTTGAGCATTTTGGTAAGTTTGTAAATGTAATAGAATAGTCTTGAGATATATAGGAAAGTGTTTCTGAGACAAATTTTATAAAAATACAGTTTTGGGGATCCCTGGGTGGCTCAGCGGTTTAGTGCCTGCTTTTGGCCCAGGGCGTGATCCTGGAGTCCCGAATCAGTCCCACATCCAGCTCCCAGCATGGAGCCTGCTTCTCCCTCTGCCTGTGTCTCTGCCTCTCTCTCCCTGTGTTTCTCATGAATAAATAAAATCTTTAAAAATAAATAAATAAATAATTCATTAATTTTATTTATTGGACAGAGAGAGAGAGGGAACTGCAGGCAGAAGGAAAGAGAAACAGGCTCCCCATGGAGCACAGAGCCTGATGCAGAACTCGATTCCAGAACCCTGAGATTGTGACCTGAGCTGAAGGCACTTAACCGACTGAGCCACCCAAGTGCACTTAAAACTTTATTTTTTTTATTTATTATTTTTAAAGATTCATTCATTTATTATTTATTTATGTATTTATTTATTTGTTTATTTATTTATTTATTTATTTATTTATTTATTTATTTATGAGAGAGAGGGAGGGAGGGAGGGAGGGAGGGAGGGAGGGAGGGAGGCAGGCAGGCAGGCAGAGAGGCAGAGACACCGGAGGAGGGAGAAGCAGGCTCCATGCCGGGAGCCTGACGTGGGACTGATTCGGGACTCCGGGATCATGCCCCAGGCTAAAGGTGGAACTAAACTGCTTAGGCACCTGGGCTGCCCAAATAAAATCTTCTAAAAAAAGATAGTTTTAAGAGGCGGCAATGGTGACATTTGGTTAATCTTATTCTAGACAAAGAAAGCAGGTAAGGTGATAGTGTGGTTGTTAATCATTCAGTAAGTTGATATTTCATATCTTAATGCTTTTTTTATTGGGCTTACTTACTAGAGTCTTTAATTTTTAAAAGATTTTATTTATGTGAGAGACAGTGTGTGAGAGAACAAGTGGCAGGGGTTGGGGGGGCAGAGGGAGAGAGAGAAGCAGAGTTCCTGTTGAATCAGGAGCTTGACGTGCTACTTGATCCCAGGACCTAGGGTCATGACCAGAGCCAAAGGCAGACAACCAGCTGCCACCCAGGTGCCCCTAGGGTCTTTTAAATTTATAGGGGGATCCCTGGGTGGCTCAGCGGTTTAATGCCTGCCTTCGGCCCGGGGCGTGATCCTAGAGTCCTGGGATTGAGTCCCACATCGGGCTCCCTGTGTGGAGCCTGCTTCTTCCTTTGCCTGTGTCTCTGCCTCTCTTTCTCTCTGTCTCTCTCATGAATAAATAAATAAAATCTTAAAAATTTATAAATAAGAGAGTTTTGAAAACCAGTTGCTTTTAAATTAAATATGTAAATAAGAAACTACATTTAGAGTTAATTACTGCGATGTCATATTTTGTTCCTGGAAAATTTATGATTTTGATTTAGACTACGGATTTAATTTAGAATTCATTTTAGCTAAGTCTCTGAGTGCTTAGTATATGCCAGGAACAGTACTAAGTGCTACAGGAATAAAGATAAGTTATATACAGTTTCAACCTTGGGATTCCATATCTAGCCAAAATAATTATTCTAATTAGGGTAGGTATGGAAAGGAGCAAGAGTTGGGAAGGAGTCAATTTTAAAAAATAAGCATAGGAGATTGTAGAACAATTACTGAGAGTTAAATTAGAATTGGGAATTAGGGGTTATCTAAATTTTTGTCTTAGTGCTGTTAATTTTATATCGATGAAGTCCTATTAGTGAAGAATGAAATTTGTGCATAAATTAATGATAAATTTCAGTAGAATTCTCTTTTACAAAGAATGTAAATTAGATGTTGAGTTTGAATGAAACCTTAAGAAAATAAAAGAGTTGGGGCACCTGGGTGGCTCAGTGGATTAAACATCTTGTCTTCGGTTCAGTTCATGATCCTGGAAAGCTGGAATCGAGCCCCACATCAGGCTCCCTCCTCAGCAGGGAGTCTGCTTCTCCCTCGCTCCCTCATCCTGCTCATATGCACGCAAGTGCTCTCTCTTTTTCTCTCTCTCTCTCAAATAAATAAATAATATCTTAAAAAAAAAGAAAATAGTAGACCAAGTTTTTAGTAAAGTGGTATTACTTATGAGAAAGAAATGTAGATGCACAGTCCAGAAGAATTATTTGTTTGGTCTGTGGAATTAGGTAGGTGGAGAATGCCACTCAAAAATCAGTTTTTAAAATACTATATATTCAAAATAATCTTTATTTAAATAAAGTTGACTCTTTTCTTCAAATTTTGTTTTTAAGGCCCAAGATTCCTACCAAACTCCTCAGAATCCTGGAATTGTACCTCGTCCTAGTGAACTTTATTATAGTAAAATTGGCCCTGCTTTAAAAGCAGTTGGACTTAGCCTGGATGTGTCCCGACGGGATTGGCCTCTTCATGTAATGAAGGCAGTATTAGAAGAGTTAATGGAGGCTACCCCTCCAAATCTCCTTGCTAAAGAGCTCTGGTCATCTTGTACCACACCTGATGAATGGTGGAGAGTCACACAGGTACGTGCTCTGTTTTGGGCTATAATCAATGTCACTGTTTCTTTTGCCTGCTTCCTGTCTAGTCTGTGTTGTTCACCCTCTTTTTCTTCCCCCTTGTCTCCCTCCAGACTTGGTAGTTTGAGACCTGTATTCAAATATTACATTGCAGTTATTTTCATAAGGCATGGACATGACTGTGTGAGGGTAGAACAGAGGGTATTATGAAATGAAAAGAAGAATAAAAGCTTGAGAAAGGGAAAAACTAGGGAGTTTGAAAATAGTTTTGTTTTTTAAATCCAGCATTCAAATACTAAGTAGGTCCAACAAAGACCACAGGGTTGTGTACAGCTAGCTACTCAGTGCAGAGCCTCTGTGACCACCTGGCAGCAGCCCTGAGGAGTGCTATTTAGAAATGAGGTAGTGGGATTATGGTATTTTGTGCATTTTGGAACATCAAATCCATGTTGGAAGGAAGTTTGCTAATGGTATTACAACTTGCTCTCCTCCCCATCTCCTCTCTTGTTTAGTCTTATGCCAGGTCTACTGCAGTTATGTCTATGGTTGGATACATAATTGGCCTTGGAGATAGACACCTGGATAATGTTCTCATAGATATGACGACTGGAGAAGTGGTTCACATAGATTACAATGTTTGCTTTGAAAAAGGTAAAATTAAATTGGACCTTTACATTTATGTGAGGGTCAGATGTTTTTGATGAAACGCCAAAAATATAACACTTTGTCTTTTTAAGGTAAAAGCCTTAGAGTTCCTGAGAAAGTACCTTTTCGAATGACACAGAATATTGAAACAGCACTGGGTGTAACTGGAGTAGAAGGTGTTTTTAGGCTTTCATGTGAGCAGGTATGCTGTTTCTCTTACACCTTTTAATGTACCTGTTAACAAATCTTGTGGAATGAAAAACTACGTTTTAGTGAGGAAACTTGTGGCAAAACCTGATTAAAACACCTCTGAATACAGGTTCTACACATCATGCGGCGTGGCAGGGAGACTCTGCTGACATTGCTGGAGGCCTTTGTGTATGACCCCCTGGTGGACTGGACGGCTGGGGGTGAGGCAGGCTTTGCTGGCGCTGTCTATGGTGGAGGTGGCCAGCAGGCCGAGAGCAAGCAGAGCAAGAGAGAGATGGAGCGAGAGATCACCCGCAGCCTCTTTTCTTCCAGAGTAGCTGAAATTAAGGTGAAGGCAACAATAATAAATCATCACCATCTTTTGCTGGGTAAAACTGTTTAAAAAAGGTTTTTTTGGAAGACTGTCCTGTATAACATTGAAATGTCAGTGAAATAGGGCAATTTGATGTCTTGTTAGTAGGAAATGCTTCCATACACAGACACACAATCACACTCTTACTCACTGGAGGTGGATTAATGACTTGAAAAAAAAAGTTACACCTTTTTTTTAATACATTGAAATGCATTTACCAGTGACTATTTTAGGTGTTCCTTTCTTGGTTAGCCTCTCCTCAGTCTGAATTTTAATATCATGGCCGCCAGTGATGCTAATGCTGTGTTGTGTGGCGTGGTGGTGACTACACGGTATTGTGAGATTTGATTCTCAGTTTATGGCTGTGTGAACTTAAATGCCCTGGTTATCATTTTCGGTAAAGTATCCGTGATGCCATCACCCCTTCAGGGTTTTAAATAAGAGATTTAAATAGAATAATACATATGAGATGTCCATCTAACAAATCTCTGTGGCAGACGTCCTCGTATCTCACAATTGTCCCTGTAAAAATTTCCCTGATGATAATTATCTTTTTATAGGTGAACTGGTTTAAGAATAGGGATGAGATGCTGGTTGTGCTTCCCAAGCTGGACAGCAGCTTAGATGAATACCTAAGCTTGCAAGAGCAGCTGACAGATGTGGAAAAACTTCAAGGCAAACTCCTGGAAGAAATAGAGTTTCTAGAAGGAGCTGAAGGAGTGGACCATCCTTCTCACACTCTGCAACACAGGTTTAAAAGTGTTGAACTCTTATTTCTAAATACATGACATTAAGGAGAATTTTCATATTTGTATAAACATTGTCAACTTCAATTAGAATTATTATAACGATTTACATAAATGATAAAAAGCTCTCCCAAGGACTGCAATTTCAAATTAAGATATAGAAATTTACTTCAATTTTCTGCTTTATTTTTAATTGAAATGTTTGAGTAATTATGGGAGATAAGTGGGTATAATAGAACATGAACTTGGATTCAGAAAACCTGGGGTTTGGTTTTCTTTTTTTTTTTTTTTTATGATCTTTATTTATTTATTCATGAGAGACACACACAGAGAGAGAGGCAGAGACACAGGCAGAGGGAGAAGCGGGCTCCATGCAGGGAGCCCAATGTGGGACTCTATCCCGGGTTTCCAGGATCATACCCCGGGCTGGAGGTGGCGCTAAACCGCTGTACCACCGGGGCTGCCCCCCTCCCCTTTTTAATGAGGGGTTTGGGTTTCTCTGTACCGTTTGTGTCTGGATCCTTATTCATTAGTACAGTGGCAATTATTTTATCCACTTTGCTGAATTAAGCATTAAACAGAATGATCCAAGTTGAATGAACCTTGTACAGAGCCAGGCGGTCAGTAAAGGGTAAATATGCAAATGCCACACACTGTGTGAGTCTCTGGGATTAAAATGTCTGTCATTTACGCTCAAAACCTGGTAGGTGTGCTGGTTGTTTTTTGTGTGTGTGGTGGATTTTGAACATGTTTTATTTAAAATGTTGTGAGTAGAGTTGAGACAATTATGGGCAAAAACGGAGAAGTAAGGGACATTTGAATTATGCCCTTAAGATTGAAATGGAGCTTACCAGGCATCCTCAAGTATGAGCAAAATCAAGGTTATGAAATTAAGTAGAAGGAAGAGGCAATTAAAAAATATTTCCTCTTATTAGGTATTCTGAACACACTCAACTACAGACTCAGCAAAGGGCTGTACAGGAAGCAATCCAGGTGAAGCTGAATGAATTTGAACAGTGGATAACACATTATCAGGCTGCATTCAATAATTTAGAAGCAACACAACTTGCAAGTTTGCTTCAGGAGATAAGCTCACAAATGGACCTTGGTATGGGTTGATTTATCTTAGATACACATGTTGAGCATGTGAGTTTTGTATTTGTGTGTTTATGTGTGGGGTTCTGGTTTGTGCTCCTTTCAATGACTGCTGTTTTGGAATAGTTTCACTGTGATTAATAATCTCTTTTACCAAAAGGTCCTCCAAGCTATGTGCCCGCAACAGCCTTTCTACAGAATGCTGGCCAGGCGCACTTGATTAGCCAGTGTGAGCAGCTAGAGGGAGAAGTGGGTGCGCTTCTCCAGCAGAGGCGTTCAGTGCTCCGAGGTTGTCTGGAACAGCTGCATCACTATGCAACTGTAGCTCTGCAGTATCCAAAAGCCATATTTCAAAAACATCGAATTGAGCAGTGGAAGACCTGGATGGAGGAGCTCATCTGTAATACCACAGTTGAGCGCTGTCAAGAACTGTACAGGAAGTATGTTGATCACATTTAATTTTCTTATTTCTCGGGATTGGAAGCAGAGTTGTGTTCAAATTATTATTTTATGTATATAGTATTTTATTTTTCTGAAAGAAATGGTTGATGGATGGAATCTGAATGGGGGTCTCTTTTTTCTTGGTTTTAAGAGGATCTGAACTCCTGTTTTCCCTTATAAAATGGTGTGTTTTTTCTAATTAAAATGTGTCCTAGTGTCAGAGTGATGGGATCAGGGTAAAGACAGCTAAACTGCAACATTGAGCTGTTGCTCACAAAAAAGTTGTCTTAGAAAATTTACTTGAAAAAATAAAGTTTACTTGAGCTCTTGAGACTTTTTCTTATCTGTAAAAATGGAAATCATGGTTTCTACTATTTAAGGTTTGAGGATCACAGACAGTATTCCATATTCTCCAGTGTAAAATGTGAACTTTCTTTACAAGCAAGAAGTGCTTATGTTGTATACAAACATCTCTGTTTGCATAGATACGAGATGCAGTATGCTCCCCAGCCTCCACCAACAGTGTGTCAATTCATCACGGCCACAGAGATGACTCTGCAGCGGTATGCAGCTGACATCAACAGCAGGCTTATTAGACAAGTGGAACGCTTGAAACAGGAAGCTGTTACTGTGCCTGTTTGTGAAGATCAGTTGAAAGAAATTGAACGTTGCATTAAGGTTTTCCTTCACGAGAATGGGGAAGAAGGATCTTTGAGTCTAGCAAGTGTTATTATTTCCGCCCTTTGTACTCTTACAAGGTGAGTTAGCCAACTTTGTATTGAGACCATTTTGTTGTCTTGAAAACTTTCATGCTTATTGAGATTGCATGTGCCTTTTGTTTAATACCAAACTTAATGTATTTTTTTTTACTTTCATTAGTCTCACTCACTGTTATAGCTGCTTTACTTCCCTTCAGAGTTTGAGGTATCCACTTTTGTGTGTGAGTATAGCTGAGTAGTTTTCATTGTACAAACACTTGTTGGCATTTAGGCGTAACCTGATGATGGAAGGTGCAGCTTCAAGTGCTGGGGAACAGCTGGTGGATCTGACCTCTCGGGATGGAGCCTGGTTCTTGGAAGAGCTCTGCAGTATGAGTGGGAACGTCACTTGCCTGGTGCAGTTACTGAAGCAGTGCCACCTGGTGCCACAGGACTTAGACATTCCGAACCCAATGGAAGCTTCTGAGGCAGTTCACTTAGCTAATGGAGTATATACCTCACTTCAGGTGAACACTTTTAAATTAGCGTAACATTGATAAGTTTGTTTTAGATATTGAACATTTATACTTCTTATCTCTGGTTCAGAAAAGCACTTTGACTTTTCCCCTTTTAATGTTGCTTAATCGGTCACTTAAAGGTCAGTGTGAGGTTTGTAGCCAGAAGTTGGTTACAGTTGCATAAGTTTGTTCTTAGTACATGGCATTAAACCTCTAAATGTATAACCCTACCTTAACTCAGAAAACATTAAAATATATTTCTCACATATTTATAGGAATTAAATTCAAATTTCCGGCAAATCATATTTCCAGAAGCACTGAGATGTTTAATGAAAGGAGAATACACGTTAGAAAGTATGCTTCATGAGCTGGACAGTCTTATTGAGCAGACAACTGATGGCGTTCCCCTGCAGACTCTAGTTGAGTCTCTTCAGGCCTATTTAAGAAATGCAGCTATGGGACTCGAGGAAGAAACACATGCTCATTACATCGATGTTGCCAGGCAAGTGAATGGTAGCTGTGCTGTTTTCTTGCGAAGGAGATAGGAAAGCCACATAACAGTTTCTGAGCTCTTACTATACGTAAATTTAGTTGTAATTTTACAGCAGATATAGTTACTTAAAAATGTTTACCTATATTTTTAAAAATTTTGTTTTTGGAAATAAGTACAGATTCATAGGAAGTTGTAAAACACATGTGTGCAGGGATGTCTTATGAGGCTCCATCTTTCCTGCAGTGTTAGTACTTTGCATCCCAGTAGTACTATGGTCACACTGTGGAGTTGATGTCGGTACAGTCAGCAGAGATTCCTGAGATTGCACCAGTTATACACATGCACTCATCTGGGTGTGTAGCTCCATGAATGTTTAGCACATACACACATGTATACTTGTAATGTGGTTGCTTCATGATATGTGTGCTACACACACACAAAGTGGAGTGTAGGACTTTTAAACCAGCCCTCAGAACTTCATGGGAGCATCTGAGCCAGTTTAGTTAATGGAGTACACACCTCACTTGAGGTGAATGCTTCTAAGTTTGCTTAAACTTTTTAAGTTTGTTTTAGATACTGAATATTGTGGTTTTTCATCTCTGAAATCCAGAGAAACAGTTTGACTTTGGAACCTGTAAAGGTTGGGCTGTTCCTCCAGCTATGCACTCTACCCATAGCTAAGCTGTAAGCCCCTTTATCTCTGGTGACTCAAGACCTCTTTCTTTGGCATTCTGGTGTCAGATTTGCCCCAGAAAGTATAATTGAGAGAGTGGAAATGGATTGACCTACCATTCTTCCTCCTATGACAAAATACAAAGAAAAGAAAATAGAATAGTATAATGAACTTTCTTTTTCCCCACCTTTGGCAATTATCTGCACTTGTTTAAATTGTTTAAATTATTTGTCTTGTTTAGATTGTACTGTCCTGATTATTTTGAAGCAGATATCTTTTCATTTTTAAACATACAGGAAGTATATATATCTAAAATACAAATTTAGTTTTTTTAATTGCAGTGCCGTTACTTCACCCAAAAAGTTAACAATAATTCATTAATGTTTTCCATCATCCGCATTCAAAACTTTCCTATTTTATGTTTCTTTATAATTATTTCACCATACAGTTAAAAAAATGAGTGCAATTATTATAGCATAAACTAAACATCCATAGATGATTTAGATTATTTGCATAATAGCTTTATCATTTAAATTTCTAGCATTATTTAAACATTTAGATGCTAAATCTATATGCCTTTCTTTCTCACTAAATTTCAGCCCTCATTTATCTCCCCATGATAACCTAAGTCAGATTTTCCTTACCCGCAAATGGATGATTACTCTTCATGTGTGATTTGGGTAACAAACTTCATGCCTGGTTCTGTTACAGCTTGTTTGTACCTTGTTTTGGAGAACCTTTGATCATCTCAAGGAAAATTGTATACCATCTTGTAGCTCTTTTTTCCATTGGAAATTGCCCTGGTTAGCCTTTTTAAATTCTCTTAATAGTTGTATAGTTATTTCTGTATGTGTGTGTGATAAAGTTGAAAATCCGGTTAACGGGGGCATCTGGTGGCTCAGTGGTTGAGTGTCTGCCTTCAGCTTAGGGCATGATCACAGGGTCCTGAGATGGAGTCCCACGTGGGGCTTCCTGCAGGGAGCCTGCTTCTCCTCTCTGCCCTCTCTTTCTCTCATGAATAAATTTTTAAGATCTTAAAAAAAAAAAAAAACAGATTTGGTTAACATTAGTAACAATAATACTAGTTGTAGGTACTAGGAATGCTATTTTTGATTTTTTAATATAAAATGTTCAGAATAGTGTCTGGATACATAAGCCACTATGTAAGTCTTAAGTTGATGATATGCTGGGTGAATTTCTGGAGACTTAAACTCAAACTATGCATTATTCAAAACAAGTGTGCCACAAATGGCAGGTTTTTGAGTTTGGGGTCTGTATGTAGTTGGCTGTTTCATGTATGTGACAGTGGTGTGAACATACTTGACAATTTTTGTGAAGTCCTCTAGCTTTAGAATTGTGTGATTCTTGACATTTATTGGGGGTTTGTATTATTTTACATTCTTTGTGTTAAGTGAGACTATAATATATAGTTCTTTAAAAATTGTCATAATCCAGGTTTGCATAAAATTTGATCACATGAACAATTACTAATACTGAATTGGAACCATTAACTTCATATTATGATGGCACTACATATCATTTTATCCTAACAGTCTTTCCTGCATGCAAAAAGACTTCTTTTCTAGGGGTGCCTGGGTCAATCAGTTGGTTAAGTGTCTGACTCTTGATTTAGGCTCAGTTGTGATCTTGAGGACCTGAGATTGAGCCCTGTGTGGGGCTCCATGCTCAGCAGGGAGTCTGCTTGAGAATTCTGTCCCTCCTCCCACTCTGGGTTCGTTCTCTCTCTCTCTCTCTCAAATAAATAAAATTAATTAATTAAAATCTTAAAAAAGATTTATTTTTTTAGATTGCATGCTAGCTGTGACTCTTACTGACCTTTTGTGTTCTCCCCCAAATTTATTACTCTTCAGTTAGGATTTTAATTCCCTTTTCTTTTTCTCTAGAATACTACATGCTCAATATGGTGAATTAATCCAACCAAGAAATGGTTCAGTTGATGAAACACCAAAAATGTCAGCTGGTCAGATGCTTTTGGTAGCATTTGATGGGATGTTTGCCCAAGTTGAAACTGCTTTTGGCTTATTAGTTGAAAAGGTAAATATTAGGGGTACCTTGGGTGGCCCAGTCAGTTGAGTGTCTGCCTTTGGCTAGGGTCCTGGTCCTTTGATCCTGGGGCTCCCTGCATAGTGAAGAGCCTGCTGTTCCCTCTCCATCTGCCATTCCTCCTGCTTGTGCTCTCTTGCTCTCTGTCAAATAAATAAATAAACTCTTTTTAAAAAGTAAAGAAGGCAACCCAGGTGGCTCAGCGGTTTGGCGCCTGCCTTTGGCCCAGGGCGCGATCCTGGAGACCCGGGATTGAATCCCACGTCGGGCTCCTTGCATGGAGCCTGCTTCTCCCTCAGTCTGTGTCTGTGCATCTCTCTCTCTCTCTCTCTTTCTCTCATGAATAAATAAAATCTTAAAAAAAAACTAAAGAAGTAAATATTGATTTTATGAGTACTGATTTAATGCATATGTGGTAAAGTAGTTAGTTCACTGTGTGAAAAGTAGAGAAAGGAACTTTCTTTTCTTTTTTTTTACATAGTTAAACAAGATGGAAATTCCCATTGCTTGGCGAAAGATTGACATTATAAGGGAAGCCAGGAGTACCCAAGTCAATTTTTTTGATGATGATAATCACCGGCAGGTGCTAGAAGAGATTTTCTTTCTAAAAAGATTACAGACAATTAAGGAATTTTTCAGGCTCTGTGGTACCTTTTCTAAAACTTTATCAGGTAATCTTTCACATTTAAACATATTGGATTTGTGTAGAACTTTAGAAGGGGGTAGGGATGGTGCAGGCTTAATTGTATGCTCATACAGTCTAGTTTTTAAATAAGCATTATTATTACCTTATTTTACTTTGCATGAAATACTTGAAAATTTTCCTGTTTTAGGTTCGAGTTCGCTTGAGGATCAGAATACTGTAAATGGACCTGTACAGATTGTCAATGTGAAAACTCTTTTTAGAAACTCCTGTTTCAGTGAAGACCAGATGGCCAAACCTATAAAGGCATTCACAGCTGACTTTGTGAGGCAGCTCTTGATTGGACTACCGAACCAAGCCCTAGGACTCACCCTCTGCAGTTTTATCAGTGCCCTGGGTGTAGACATTATTGCTCAAGTAGAGGCAAAGGACTTTGGTGCTGAAAGCAAAGTCTCTGTTGATGATCTTTGTAAGAAAGCAGTGGAGCACAACATCCAGATTGGGAAGTTCTCTCAGTTGGTAATGAACAGGGCAACTGTGTTAGCAAGCTCCTATGATACTGCCTGGAAGAAGCATGACTTGGTACGCAGGCTAGAAACCAGTATTTCTTCTTGTAAGACAAGCCTGCAGCGTGTTCAGCTGCATATTGCCATGTTTCAAGTAAGTATTTCTCTAATGTGTTTTTCTCTACTCTAGGAATTTGAAAACCTAGGGGAATTAATATAAAATAATACAAAGAAAAAAAATTTAAACATCCTGAATTGTGCCACCCACAGCAAACCCAGCTTTTTAGCATTTTGGTATCTTTGTCCAGTTTTTCCTTGTTTCCGTTTCCTGTAGTTGAGAGTATTTTGTGTTTACACTTTGCGACTTCTTTGTTTGCATCCATGTGGTATGGTTGGTATTATCTGTATTGTTAAGTTTTATCATGAACTGATTTCTTTTTTTTTTTTTTTTTTTAAATTTTTATTATTATTTATTTATGATAGTCACACACACAGAGAGAGAGAGAGAGGCAGAGACACAGGCAGAGGGAGAAGCAGGCTCCATGCACCGGGAGCCTGACGTGGGATTCGATCCCGGGTCTCCAGGATCGCGCCCCGGGCCAAAGGCAGGCGCCAAACTGCTGCGCCACCCAGGGATCCCTGAACTGATTTCTTTAGCTCATAAATTAAGAAAACTAATTTATTCACATTTTGAAATTATAGTTATTTTATGTTAACAGTCTAGCACATTGGAATCTTTTTGTATTTTTTTCTTCAAAAAAAGTTGACATTTTTGTTGTCTTATACATTTTAGAGTTTATTCCCTTAAAAAATTGACAACTGAATGGAAAACATTATATCCTTACAGTTTTGTTGATCTGAACAAATGTTCGTCATTTTAAACCCTAAGTACAATATGTTACTTTTAATTGTAGCCCAAATATCCCTTAGGCCTTTTGGGGCCTTCCTTAAAACATACAAGATGACTTGCTCCTCTGTGAGCAGTTGTCTGCCCCTTTCTGCAACTTCTAGGCTCTCTGGAGAATTCTTTGTTCTGTACTGCTGCCATCATTTCTCTTAATCACTTGCTTAGCCTCACGCTGGATAGACTGCCTCTCCACCCACCATCTACCCATGCCTTTTCCAACCTCTTAACTGGAGATAGATATCTTTTGGGGAGATTGTATACTAGACTTTTATATACACTTGGAAACATCTTCAGGATTAATACTTAGTTGTTGCATATCACTGATCAAAGAAATTTATCAGCCATTCTCTAAATTAGGAAATTTATCACCTGGTTGTGATTCTTTTGTAATGTTTCTGCTGTTAGACTTCTCTGCTTACCTCGCTTTGCTGTGGCTGAGTGTTTTTTTTCTCTTCGCTTCAGTCCTAATCCCCACCTCCCCTCCTTTTATCTAAAGATTATTTTTCCTGCTGATTTTACTAAATTGTTTTTTCTTTGAACAGTGGCAGCATGAAGACCTTCTTATCAATAGACCACAAGCCATGTCAGTTACACCTCCTCCTCGGTCAGCCATCCTAACCAGCATGAAAAAGAAACTCCATACTCTGAGCCAAATTGAAACTTCAATTGCAACAGTTCAGGTGTGTTTTGTCAGACCTTAACTTGCAGCATTTACTTTCAGAAATGACCTATGCTGTGAGGAGGTGTTCAGTCTATGTACACGTCTGTCCTTGGCTTACTTCTTGTTCACTTTTATTTTTAATTTGTATCTTTTTTTTCTTCAAGTAACCAAAACTAACAGTAGCAGTGTATTTTTTTTTTTTTTAGCAGTGTATTTTGAACCAGGAATAGAGACATACTACACATTTCAGGGTTTGTTTTTGTTTTTGTTATTTTTAGATTTTATTTATTCATGATGGGGGCGGGGGCAGGCAGAGAGACAGGCTGAGGAAGAAGCAGGCTTCTCACAGGGAGCCTGATGTGGGACTTGATCCCAGATCCCAGGATCATGACCTGAGCCAAAGGCAGGCGCCCAAACTGCTGAGCCACCCAGGCATCCTAACACTTAGTTTTTCTGAAAGGCTTACTATTCATATCTAAAAAGCTTAGGCATTTCTTTTATTTCATTTTGAAAAGAGCAAGGATGGGGCAGAGGGTGAGAATCTTTAAAAAATATTTTTATTTAAATTCAATTAATTAACATATAATGTATTATTAGTTTCATGTAGAGGTCAGTGATTCATCAGTCTTCTGTGATACAGTGCTCATTACATCAGTCATAAGCAGGCTCAGCATGGACCCAGACGCAGGACTCAGTCTCATGACCCTGAGATTATGACCTGAGCTGAAATCAAGAGTTGGGCATTTAACTGACTGAGCCACCCAGGCACCCTAGCTTAGGCACTTTTTATCTCTGTTGTATAGTTAGTGATATTTTATGATGTCAAAGGATATTTTTCTATTACAATTTTTTGTCATTTCTGCCTAATATTTAATCTCCCCTCCCCCTTTCAAAATAAGAAACAGGTCTTGATAATGGTTATATATGTCTTTGTATTGTTTCTCCTTTTATCTCATATACTCCTTATATCTCATGTAACTGACATTTTTCTGTTCATTTTACAAATTCTAGTATAAAATCAAGTATAATCACTTCTGTAATTTTTACATTTTTAATGAAACTTTTCTGGAGCTCACTTTGAAGATTGAAATATCTTTACAATATATTAGGGCTAGATTTCAATATTGGAGAGTGAATACCTGCCCTTTCTGATTTTAGGGGTGTGTTTCTATCAAAGAAAGAGGGAGAAAAGTGCAGGAAAGACAGGATGTGAATTCCTCCACCTAAAGTGGTGAATAAATAATGAAATAACTTTGTTATGTAAAACCTTCCTTGTCATGAATTTATAAACTTTTGAATCTGGGAAAATTTGATTTTTGTCTTTTGTAATCAAAAGTGTAGATGGATTTTTTTTTTGGTAGATGGATTTTTTTAAATTAAATTTTTTATTTTAATTCTAGTTAACATACAGAGTTCTATTAGTTTCAGGTGTACAATATAGTGATTCAACAGTGCTATTCATGATTTGGTGCTCATTGTGATAAGTGTACTCTTTAATCCCCATCATCTCTTTCACCCCTCTTCCCAACCACCTCCCTTCTGGTAACCACCAGTTCTCTAGAGTTAAGAGTGTTTCTTTGTGTGTTTCTCCTTTTTTCCTCTTTGTTCATTTGTTTTGTTACTCATATTCCACTATGAGCGAAATCATTTATTTCATTCTCTGAGTGACATTTCACTTAGCATTATATCCTCTTAACTCTCTTTTGTTGCAAATGGTACATGGATATTCTTATAGGTAGCACTTAAGCGCATTAGGAATTTGATGTAGCACTGTTTTCTTTTTCTTTTTTTTTTTTTTTTTTTTAAAGATTTTGTTTATTTACTCATGAGCAACACAGCGAGAGAGAGAGAGGCAGAGACACAGGCAGAGAGAGAAACAGGCTCCATGCAGGGAGCCCGATGGGGGACTTGATCTCGGGTCTCCAGGATCACACCCTGGGCTGCAGGCAGTGCTAAACCGCTGTGCCACTGGGGCTGCCCTGTTTTCATTTTATTAAAGGCTACTTTATTTAGGGATGCCTGGAGGGCTCAGTGGTTGAGCACGTCTCTCTTCAGCTCAGGGCATGATTCCAGTCTGGGGACCAAGTCCCACATTGGGCTCCCTGTGGGGGGCCTGCTGCTCCCTCTGCCTATGCCTCTGTCTCCCTCTGTGTTTCTCATGAATGAATAAATAAAATATATATATTTTTTAAATGAAGGCTTCTTTAAACATGAAAATCTTGGGATGCCTGTGTGGCTCATCTGTTGAGCATCCACCGCTTTGTTTGTTTGTTTTTTAAAGATTTTATTTACTTGACAGAGAGCACAGGCAGAGGGAGAGGGAGAAGCAGGGAGCCTGATGTGCTGCTTGATCCCAGGACCTTGGGATCATGATGAGCTGAAGGGAGCCGCTTAACCGACTGAGCCACCCAGGCGCCCCTCTAACTCTTGGTTTTGGTTCAGGTTGTGATCTCATAGGTTGGCAGATTGAGCCCTACATTGGGCTATACCCTCAGTGAGGAGTTTGCTTGCAAGATTGTCTCCCTCTGCCTCTTCCTCCTCTATCTCTCTCTCTCCTCTTTTTCTCTGAAGTAAATAGATGGACTTTAAAAAAAATAATTAAAATCTGCAGATTTTAAGACCAACTAAAAGCCAGTTCTTACCTCCCCAGACATATTTAGCCTTAAATATTCAAATGAAATCAAGATTAATTCCAAAAGATGTTAAAAATGTTTTCTAAATTATGTATGTCTCATCCTGTTTCTTTTGAATCTGTCTTGTATTTATATAAAATCCTCACCAGGAATTGGAGAGTGTGAAATATTCACTGATGTTCTTCTGGCTTTTATAGGAGAAACTAGCAGCACTTGAAGCAAGTATTGAACAGCGACTTAAGTGGGCAGGTGGTGCCAACCCTGCACTGGCACCTGTACTACAGGATTTTGAAGCAACAATAGCCGAAAGAAGAAATCTTGTCCTTAAAGAGAGCCAAAGAGCAAGCCAGGTATTGTGACCCATGTGTGCCATCTTTGTTTTCAGTTATGGGATTCTACAATTGATGGAAGTTACATGTGGGATAACTAGAGGTAGCTTGAGAGTCCACTCTCTAGTTCACAGTACTGGAAATAGAGTCTGATAGGCCTTGGTTGGAAGGGCATCCCTTAGGCTGAGTTCACAGCCAATTATTTCCGTAGATCTTTACTGTCTCCTAGCTAGATATAAAATGGGTTCAGCCTTTGTTGGAACATAAGGAGTTTAATTCCATATTTGTCTAAGGTTCTCTTTATGCAACTAAGGTGACCCAGTGGCAATAAAATGTCTTTATGAGCTTGTGTTCTGTCAGAAGTTGTGGATTAACTTCATTATGATTGGGGGAAGGGGACAAAAGCAAAAAAAGAAAAAAACCTATTAGATAATTTTCCATCAGGTACAAAATTAGACTAATACAGTGATTCCCATATTCTCATAACCAATTAAAATTTAGTTGATCATCAACTTATGTCCTATTTTATTTCCTCATACTTCCAATTTTTCCTTTCCCTCCCATTTTTAATGAAATTCCAAACGTATGATTTTTATCTGTAAATATTTCAGTATGTATTTGTAAAAGTAGAAATTATTTACATAATCACAGTAGTATTATATTTTTTTAAATGTGCATAATATCGTCAATACATCGAAGGTCATATTTTGTGGTCTTACTGTAAAGCTAGGCAAGAGTAGAAGCAGAAGGACAGTGTTCCAAATTGAAATTTGGACATAGCACTAATAAATTGCAATTGAATATAACAGTTTTATTGTGAAGTAAATTTTCTACCAAAAAGCAAACATGTAGAAGATACTTTTATATGAATGTACTTGGGTGATTTTAACCATCTCAGATCTAATAACATTAGCTAAAACAAGGTGCATTTATTCATAGCCTTTATTAGGATTAGATCTGTTTCCTAAAAGAGTCATTCATAACATTTTTTAACGACCAGTTGTGGTCCTGAATTCTGGAAATGAATTCTGGTAGTATTTTTTCATGTCAGATTAAAATTGCATTTCTTCCCTGACTGTGATGGGTCCATTCCTTTTTACCTCTTTATAGGTCACTTTCCTCTGCAGCAATATCATCCATTTTGAAAGTTTACGAACTAGAACTGCAGAAGCCTTAAACCTGGATGCCGCATTATTTGAACTAATCAAACGATGTCAGCAAATGTGTTCATTTGCGTCACAGTTTAATAGTTCAGTCTCTGAATTAGAGCTTCGTTTATTACAAAGAGTGGTGAGTCTTGAATCTTGATATGAGAGTAGAGACTTGTGGATAAAAATGTTAAGGCCAGTGTCATGCCCTCAAAGCCAATGTAATATAGTCAGTTTACATTTATATATAGTGTGTGTACTGTATATAAGATACTGTTTGAGGGACATAATGATTATATCCAGGGACACCTGGCTGGCTTGGTCTGTGAAGCATGCAACTCTTGATTTTGGGGTTGTGAGTTTGAGCCCCACGTTGGATGTAGAGAGTACTTTAAAATCTTAAAAAGTAATAATGATGATTAAATTTTGCTCTTAGTCCCCAAGGAACCTATTGATAATAAATAATACAATGAATTAAAAAGTTAAAAGGATTCTCAGAGCTACAATTGGCAGTACTGTGGAGGTTCAGAGGGGAGGAGGAATTCAGTGTATAGCAAATGACTTAGACACACTGATAATAGGGTAACAGACAAAGGGCTAGTGGAAGGTGAATGTGGACAGGAGGGTTGAGTCCAGAAATAGAAAGTCAATAAATTTAGTGTTTATATTTTATGGGAAAGTTTTAGACTATGTATTAATTAGGAAGTGTCTTTTTTAAAGAGTGATTTACACGGGTTTAGGGTCCTCGATACAGATCATTTTTGTTATTCTAGATATATTTTTTATGTCTTTGAGGATTTATTCCTGTATGATTATGCAGAAAAATTAAAAATCTTTTAAAAATTTCAGAAATTAAGTTATTGTTAAGTACTATTATGTACATAATTAGTTCATGATGCAGCAAATGAGGTTCTTTGTGTGAGCTTGAGTTACTAATACCTTTTGATGGTGGTGATGAAGGATAGAATCTTATATTATTCCATCTGATACTTACACAAATGCTTATTCTGTTTAGGACACCAGTCTTGAGCATCCTATTGGCAGCTCTGAGTGGCTTTTGTCAGCACACAAACAATTGACCCAGGATATGTCTACTCAGAGGGCAATTCAGACAGAGAAAGAGCAACAGATAGAAACAGTCTGTGAAACAATTCAGAATCTGGTTGATAATATAAAGACTGTGCTCACTGGTCATAACCGGCAACTTGGAGATGTCAAACATCTCCTGAAAGCAATGGCTAAGGTAAGACTAATAATACTGGCACACAATTAACTCCTTCCTTTCATAAAATTACAAGTAGTTGTATTTGGGAAAATAACGATATAAACAAAACAACTTCTGTCAGGTCTTATCTTCCAATTTGTAACTGAGTTTGTGTGTGTGTGTGTGTGTGTAAGATTTTATTAGAGACAGAGAGAGGCAGAGACACAGGCAGAGGGAGAAGCAGGCTCCATGCAAGGATCCTGATGTGGGACTCGATCCTGGGTCTCCAAGATGAGGCCTTGGGCTAAAGGCAGCACTAAACCGCGGAGCCACCTGGGCTGCCCTTAATTTGTGTTTTTAACGATTTTTGTTTTGTTTTTTAAAGATTTTATTTCTTTGTTCATGAGAAACAGAGAGGCAGAGACACAGGCAGAGGGAGAAGGGGGCTCCCTGCAGGGAGCCCGATGCAGGACTCGATCCCAGGACCTTGAACTGAAGGCAGGCGCTCAACCACTAAGCCACCCAGGCATCCCTGTTTTGTTTTGTTTTTAAAGCAGGTTGTAGTATTCTGATTTTGTACCTTAGAGAAACTGAATGTTAAAGAGACTGATTCATCCAAAGTCCTGTAACTTAACTATAGACCCAAAACTTGAACATAGCCTCAGAGTGTTTTGATCTCCAACATCTCTTTTTCCTTTCAACCCTTATTCTGAAGCTCATAAGAGTTTGCCTCCAAAATGAATGAAATATTGTCTCTTCCCTCCAGTATCCTACATAATCTACATAGTATGGCAACTGAACCCCCAGAAAAGACTAACTTCATCAGTACAAAACAGTAAATCATTTAACTTGAGGATTTGTTTTCACTTGAGTTTTTATCTTGCACTGAAAATAAGATTCCTGTAGAAAGGGAGTTAAAATGTAATAAATGGATTATTAAACACATATTTGAAAAACACTTACTGGTTGTTACTCAAAATTGACTGTGTTAGGAGTTACTATTGAAACAAATACCATTTCTCTTAATCATTAATATATCAATTCTAGGATGAAGAAGCTGCCCTGGCAGATGGTGAAGATGTTCCCTATGAGAACAGTGTTAGGCAATTCTTAGGTGAATATAAATCATGGCAAGACAACATTCAGACGGTGCTGTTTACATTAGTCCAAGCTATGGGTCAGGTTCGAAGTCAAGAACACGTTGAAATGCTCCAGGAAATAACTCCCACCTTGAAAGAACTGAAAACACAAAGTCAGAGGTAAGAATGTGTTCTGGCTTAAATTTAAAATGTAAGCAAGATATCTGGTATAATAATAAATTTTGTTTATTTAATTCATCTAATTTTTTCAGTTTTGTTCATATTTGTAAGTAGTTATCTGGTGAGATTTCATAAATAAGCCATTTTATTTTGTATTTCAGTATCTATAATAATTTAGTGGGTTTTGCATCACCCTTAGTCACCGATGCAACAAATGAATGTTCGAGTCCAACGTCATCTGCTACTTATCAGCCATCCTTTGCTGCAGGTATGACTTCTCTACTTTAAAAAAGACCCGAATCTTGATCTATTAATAATCTACACATAGATGCTAAGATGCTTATTTATACTTTTAAGAGTCTAATATGTTCATAGTCAACGCTTTTTAAAAGGGTTTTCTTAAACTGTTAAAACTCAAACTGAATGAACACATTTTGGCTTAATTTTAAAAGTACTTGTGTGAGGAAGTAGAAATACATTATGCTTAAATTCTTTTTAAATTTATGACTATACAATATATGCTTGTCAGGGAAGTTTTTTTAAAAATAGGAAAATTTATAATTTCATTCCAGTTAGAGTAGAACCATTACACATTTTTGTTAGACTTGTGTGTATGAATGCGCGTGCACACACACACACAAATTGGGATCATTCTGTGAATGCAGTTTTTGTTGCCTTTTCCCATTTAATATTAAATTGGTAATTTCCTTGTCATAAAATACTCTTTTAAAAAATGACTTAATGTCCAAATTTAATATGCCTTTCTGTGTCTTTACCATATTAATCCCACATTAATTGGACAGTCAACATATATACAGTTTTTTGATAGTACAACAAGCAGTGAGCATCACTGTACAAATTTTTGAATGGCTCTTTAGGCTATATTTAAGAGGACAGTATCTATTTCAAGGGATAAAGACTAAGGTTGTAAAATCCTATTTATTTTCACGGCTATGTATTTGTAGTTGATTGAGAGTGCTCTCCTCTTTGTCTCCCCCCGTCTTCTTTTTTACATGTGAATTGAGCTACTTACTCTTTCTGGTCTTTTTTACATGTGAATTGAGCTATCTACTCTTTCTCTATAGCAGTCCGGAGCAACACTGGCCAGAAGACTCAGCCTGATGTCATGTCACAGAATGCTAGAAAGTTGATTCAGAAAAATCTTGCCACCTCAGCAGATACTCCACCAAGCACCATTCCAGGAACTGGCAAGAGTGTTGCTTGTAGTCCTAAAAAGGCTGTTAGAGACCCTAAAACAGGGAAAGGTAATCAGTGAGAATAAGGACACATTAAATATTTGTACAAAGTGGTGGTTTGACTTATGTATGTTTCCATTGCTTCACAGCTGTGCAAGAGAGAAACTCCTATGCAGTGAGTGTGTGGAAGAGGGTGAAAGCCAAACTCGAGGGCCGAGATGTTGATCCGAATAGGAGGATGTCAGTTGCTGAACAGGTCAGTGACCATTTTTTAAACTTGATCCACACATTTTAATGCTGCTGAAAACAGTATAGGTTTAAAGGTACCTCATCCATATCCTTGGGGATTCATCCACGAAATGAAGAACTGAAATTTATTTTTAGAATTCAGAAGATTTTTAGCAATGGTAGCTCTGGAGTGGACAATATTCACCATTTTAAGCTGACTCTACCCATTTAGCACATTTCTTTTTCCCCAGCCCTCTTCTAACAGAAACTTAAGGTGTAACCTGTGTGTGTGTGTGTGTGTCTTTCTCCTCCACCAGAGAGCAGTTAATTTGCATTTTAAGTAGGAGTATCTGAAGGTTTCCAGTGAAACCAGGTTGAAGTTTTGGATGCAGGAATAGTATCTATAATGTGTTTGGGGGTGTCAGTTTTTCTGAAGTTATTACTCTGAAATTTTCTCATTAGTGTTATTAAAAATATATAAATTTGAGAATGAATCCCCTTTTATTTTGAAATGTTAAGACCTATAGAACTGTTGTAGAATGCTCATATGCTCTACCTAGACCTAGTTAAACCATTTGTTTCCCTACATTTGCTTCATCTTTCTGTGTATGTGTGATGCATACATCGTTTTTCAGAACCATTTGGGAGTTGCAGATACAACACCTGATGCCTAAATACTTCAACATATGTCTTCTTAAACAAAAATAATAATAATAATAATAATTATTATTATTATTATTATTATTATAGATTTTACTTATTTGAGCAAGCACGAGCAGAGGGAGAGGGAGAAGCAGAATCCCCACTGAGCAGGGAGCCTGATATGGGGCTCCATCCTAGCACCCTGGGATCATGACCTGAGCCAAAGGCAGACACTTAACCAAGTGAGCCACTCAGGTGCCCCATAAAACATTATTATTATTAACTGAGGAAACTTGACATTGATGTTATTGTTGACTGTTACCTAACATGGAGTCCATATTCAGATTTCTCTAGTTATCCCCAAAGTTCAGGATAACTTTATGGCTTAGTCCTTGTCTTTTTTTAACCCCTTGGGCCCTGTCTCCTCCCCTCCCCCAGCCCAGCAAGATCTAGTCAAGGCTTGTCTTGCATTTCATAAATACTTGTCCTATCTTTAGTTGCTTTGAATGTCTAGAACAGTTACTGAGGATTTCCTTTTTTTCCCCCCACTTTTATGACATTGACCTTTTTGATGTGTCCAGACCATTTTGTAGAACATACCTCACTTTGTATTTGTCTGATATTTTCCTCATAATGAGATTCAGAATCAGCAATTTTGGCAGGAATACTATATCAATGATGTATCTTTGTGTGTGCTATCTTTATCTTACTAAGTTAGGTCATTTGGTCAAGGGTAGTGTTCTCCTGAATTCTTTACAAATGCACTACCTTTTCTTCTGTGGGGTTAAAATTTGAGACTGTGAATATCCTGTTTTCTAATGTTTTTTAACATCTACAATTCAATTTTAACATAAAAAAAGAAAAGCTTTTTTTTTTCTTAAACAGTGACAGCAAAACACCATTACATTGCTGTGTAGAACCCGAAATACGTTTTTCTTAGAAAGTGCCAGGTTTGGGAAAACACACACACACACACACACACACACCCCAAAATAAAACACATAGGTAATAATGAGTCAGGGATATTTTCACTTCAGAAGCATTCTTATGACTTTCATGACTTTTTTTTTTAAGATTTTATTCATCCATTCATTTATTTAAAGATTTTATTTATTTGAGAGTGCATGCAGTGGGAGGGGGCAGGAAGCTGACTCCCCTATGCTGGGCTCTTGACTTGAGCCAAAAGCAGACACTTAACTGACTGAGCCACCCAGGCACCCTATAACTGTCTATCTTTAGCTCTCTGTCCATTTGTTTGAAGGAAGCTTGGCTTTTGTGCTTTTTATTGTGATAGTAAATTTTATATGAAAGAGAGTTAACAGGCCTTCTAGGAGTGGGTTAAGTATAGAGATCATGGCGTACAACTTTTGACATAAGTCATCATTCAGCAGCGATACATTGAGCATTTAACATATAATTGGGCCCCTTGGATTCTCTGGATATAGAGATGATTATATTTTTTACTATAAAAGAAAATTTAGTTGAGTCAGAATCAATAGGTATTTGTTGAGCACCCAGCTAGATTTCAGAATCAGCTATGCACTTTTTTTTTTTTTTTTACACACTGCTTAAGCATTTACTTAGTGACTTCATGTGTTTAACCCCAAGAGCACCTTGGGGGCTCTGTCTTCACCTAAGGATTTACAAGGTTTAGAGGGATTGTGACTTTGCCAAGACACACATTTTGTAAGCTGTGGAATTATGAGGGAAGCTCAGGTTACTTCACCTTTCCACCATAGTAACTATAGCATCCTTTGGGTATTTGAGTGGTTAGAAATTCTTAACTCCCAGAATTCATATATGTCCTTTAAAGGTCCACATGTTTAAAAATATTCTCCTGCCTACTTTTACAGGTTGACTATGTCATTAAGGAAGCAACTAATCTAGATAACTTGGCTCAGCTGTATGAAGGTTGGACAGCCTGGGTATGAATGGTGAGACAGTAGATGAGTCTGGTTAAGCGAGGTCAGACATCCACCAGAATCAACTCAGCCTCAGGCATCCAAAGCCACACCACAGTCGGTGGTGATGCAACTGGGGGCTTACTCTGAGGAACCCTAGGAAATCTCGGTGCGCTAGGAAGTGAATCCTGCAGGACAGCTGCACTCAGGGAAACGCCCAACACCATGGCCTGCAACCCCAGGGTCAAGGGTGAAAGAAAGAAAGCTCACCGCCTGAACATGGAGATTGTCTTTCTGCCACAGAACAGCTGCAAACGTGTCAGGAGGTTAGCTGCAGAAAGAAATCGGGATGCCGCGGAGCACAGAGTGATTTGGAACTCCATTCCACCTGACCCTGTGTGTACAATCCAGGAAAAAACAAACCCCGCTCAGAAACAGAGAAAACTGGGGCCGCGAAGAAATCACAGCCAAGGAAGATTTGATGCATTCAGATTCTCGTGTAACACTTGTTGCTTGGCAACAGTACTGGTTGGGTTGACCAGTAGGTACAAAAAGGCTATGCGCTAAGAATTTCAGAAATGGACTGGAAATGGAGAGCTATGTAACAGATACACTACATTGGAAGAACTTACTTCTGAAATGAAGGGAAAAAAAAAACCTACCCATCATCCTCCTCCCCAATCCCACACCATCTACCCATTCCCCTTTTACCTGATCCAGTAGATTAGTCATCTTTCAAATTTACTTTTATTTCAATCCTTATATTGCTTTCATATACTTCCATCTCGATGTTGTTAACAACTTATATTTGGAGTGATAAACAGAAATTTCTCCAAAACCACTGATAATATGGAAAATTCAAGGATTGTTTAAAGGTCTGATGATCACATACAAAATGTAATTCTGGTTATTTAAGTCGTTTCTGTGATTCTATCATGTACAGTTTTCAGAATTGTCACTGTGCATTCAAAAGTAATGAATCTAACAGACATTTGATTTAATGTACACTCCCCTTTGCTTATAGTGTGCATTTTTGGGAGGTCATTCAAATTTTCCCTCTTCTGCAATTGCTGTAGTTTCTTTCATAAAAAGTAGCTAATCCAATGTAATCTTTTACCTTTTTAAAAACCAGAATAGAATACCTATTAGAGTTTTACATTGTTGATGACAGATTAACAATAAACTGATGTTCTGGTGGAGGTAGAGTGAAATGCTGTTTAATTCAGTTTTCTCATTTAGTTTACCTGGCATTTTAGGTAGGACATGTACATGAAACATCAGCAAAATGAAAACCACTACCATCTTTTATTAAGTTCAATTATTAGTCTGTGAAGTACTTTACTTTTTGCACAATTTTAATAGTTTGCTGTGAATTCATGATCAAGGTTTCCTTAAATTCAGTATTGCATTTCAGTACTGTAAGCTGAATTGTTGATCCAAAATCAAAATCCAGACTAGAATAGAAAATCACGTATCGACACAGAATAGAACAAAATCTTGATTATGTTTTTCCTGCATTTTAGGGATTAGGACTGTGATCATTTCTGGTTGCCAATCTTCACAAACTTAAGGGTATTAAGGAAAAAATTCCACATAGCTCTGGCCTTTTCTGTATTCTGATTGCCACATTAATCTATGATCTTTACATGCCCATGGGAGAGTGCATCTCAGTATCAGTGCTTTTCTAATACTTAGGCAAGTATTGCAAGAAAGGTGGTATTTTCAAATACCCATGTGTCTAATAGCAAGTTAAGGAACCTAGTGCATCAAATTTTATTTTCTTCACACATTTGAACCTTATTTTCACAATCAAAACAACCTATCTGGAATAATAATGCCATATTGTGTCATGCACGCTGCTTTATTTCCTAGAGGCTGTGTGGGAGCTACTACATTCATCACTTGATTACCTCTGCTCTCTCAAAAGTCTTTTCAGCAACATTCTTTATTGTCACAAGGAAAAACTTTTATCACGGTGATAAAACAAATTCACACTAGTTTGTCCCTACTGGTAGTATTCAGAAATTGCTTTTTCTTTGGTAAAGAAGATAAATGAAATAGGTGAATTTTATTGCCTGTGAATTTCAGGCTTCAGAGGTACCTGGCACCTTATCCAAGCAAATACAAAACAGCTTTATATCAGAAACATGTGCCTCTGGTAAATTATCCTTCACTTTTATTTTAAAATGGTCCCTCAGAGAACAGTGTGGCATATACATGTTTGGTTGTGGGGCAGAATGTGAATAATTGAGGACTTCAAAGCTTGCTCTTTACTACACTCTGGATAGTAAGACCCCAGTCTGTACAATTTGGCTTCCTCTAGGAAGTCATTCTGCCAAGTAGCCTTGGCTTTTTGAGCTGTCGTAGGCAAACTCCACAGATTTAATCACTGGTGAGAGGCCCTGGTGATAGAGCAGCTTGAGAAGACAGGGCTATATTTGGGGGATTATCTTGTAAAATAAAGTTTAGAGTGCTGTCCTTACGAAGTCATACATTTTTGATGATACAAAATACCTGTGGAAAACCAGGGATCTGCTCCTCTCTTCTTCTCTTTCTCAGATTCAGGGGTTATAGAATAACCTACAACCTCTTCAATTTAGAGTACCCTTGGATATTGAAGTTTATCTTAAGTGTTTTGTCGTCTTTTTCTAAAATTGCCTGAATTTTAGTTGATATCTCTACAAAGCTCTGGAGGCTTAGTTTATGGAGCTGTGTGTATTTCTCTTTTAGTTTTTCTTTGGTGTGTCTTGCAGGATCTCCTTCTTTCCAGTCATGAGTTAACATAGTTTGCTAGATGATTATTAACATTCTTTTGTGTCTGGCACTTGGAGTGAGTTCTTTTTTGAGCTATGTGAGATTTCTGTGTGTGAACTGATAATCAAGCTCTTGATCTGCTTCCCTAAATAGTTTTTTTTAGAGCCCAAACCCCAGGTTCAGGGTGAGGGTTTGTAATACAAAGAAAAACTTCCATCACTTCTGCCCTTAACACTTGCCACTATTACCTAAGCTTAGTATGTAGTTTTCTTAATATTGTTCATGTTTGGTGTTATCTGCATTGTTTTGTTTTGTTTTAAATTGTGGTTGTTCTGATGTGTGAAATTTAAGGAAAGAGCCATTAAACAATGCCGAGCAGGGCAATGCAAGTACAGCCAAATATTAGAGTTGATGTGCAATCTTAGGTCCTTTTAAATCTGGGGTATTATAGGCAGTACTTTAAATTGAAAAGTCTTCCTGGCCTATTATCCTCCACATATTTGTAATTACTCTGGGGGCTTACTTGTTTTGGCAGTACTAATATCAAAGGAGCTGGTTCTTCTTTTTTCCTAATTCTTTTCATATTAAATGAAGCACCTACAATTAGCCTGTTAGTCCTATTCATAAACATCAAAAATCAGTGAATGCTTTACTGTTAGCACATGTACTTTTTAGACAAAATCAGATGAATGTGAAAACCAGTGACCTTCCATTCTCTATTCTTGGGCTTGTCAAATGTCAGTAATTTAGAGCTAGGGCTTTCCCCCTGAAATCAAGGAGGTAGACTAGGTAATGTAAGGGTCACTTAAAGAAGGCAGATTTTATTTTTGGTATATGGGTTGTAATAGAAACATTCCTCCTATGGGGAAAATGAGCTTAGCATTACAAATTTTTGCAAACATTCACTGCAGAAGGGGAATTCCATTGTGTTATAAACCCTAAGGATTTGTTGCTCTTTTCCTGCTTTTTAGGCCTGGGTAACAATCTTACCATCCCTTATTTACAAAAGAGCAAATGGACTCTGAGAAGCTTTATATGTTCACGGGTTAGTTGTACAACAGGAACACTGTAGAGTCCCCTGCTTTCTATGGGAATTTGGGCTAACTAGGGAAAAGCTGTTTGTTGTGCTAATGTAAAATTGTCACATAATTAGTTTTTTGAAGATGGTAAACTTAAGGAATTGCATGTTATTCTGAAATGCAGGCTTTTAGAATGTTTTTCTTTCAAAACAGGCTGATTTTTCTTTTCCTGAAGTCCAAGTTTCCGCTCCTCTTTAAAATTCCCGTGTCAGTTATTTTTCTGGTTTAAATTTCTCTTATATTTCCACCTGTAATGTCAGTGGCAACATCATACTTGTTAATTTACTTTACCCTTATTATACAAACAAATTGAGTTTAACTGAATCTTCCTTGTCCTAGTAACATTGTATAAAGTGGCTTCTCTGTACAAAAGGTTGTAATGCCTCCTGATGGATATAATTTTGTGATTGTATTTAAGATTAAAAGTTGAATAAATCACACCAGCTTCCTGAAAATGTTCCTAATGCATCTTTTGGAAAACAAAAATACATGCCTACTTTGTGCATATTTGCATTAACACAGCAAAGATTGTATGAACTACATTTTTCAGAAAATAAAGTCTTAAAAGACATAGCATTTAAGCTCTGAATTTATTGAAGATAGGTTCTAGAAAACTTACTTTTGGAATATGGGTAGAGTTCTTTTTTTTTTTTTAAGTATTTAATAACTCCAAAAATTTTTTTTAAAGCTTAGTTCACAATGTAATTTTTTAAAGAAAGATTTTATTTTTAAGTAATCTCTACACCCAATGTGAGGCTTAAATTTAAAACCCTGAGATTGAGTCATATGATCTACTGAGCCAGTCAGGCACCTCCCCTAAAAATAATTTTATTTAAATCCTCAAAGTACTATAGTGATTTTGAGCAGCAGTGAAAATTTTATTTCTATGGGTAAGTTCTATTAAGGTGTACTTTATTAAGCTTAAGTTTGTCGGTATTTAAAAACAAAACTGGGATGCCTGGGTGGCTCAGCAGGTGAGCATCTGCCTTTGGCTCAGGGCATGACCCCAGGGAGCCTGCTTCTCTGCCTGTCTCTGCCTTCCGTCTCTCATGAATAAATAAAATCTTTTAAAAAACCAAACCACAGAACGTTATTGACACGTGTATTCAATGAAAGCTCTGAAGGAAGATAGAATTAAAATGTTTGACTTGTTTTAAGTATCTGGGAATCAGATTGCATTTTGTGGTTGCTAGATCATTATAAGAGGATTTAATGTTAACTGTGTTGTCATCAGGCATCTTTCCAAAAGATCCTGTCCTGTTTCTGTAGTACAAAAAGCTCAAAGCACTAAGGGTAGGTGTTTTTTTAATAATTGGACCAATTGGAAGTTTACAGAAAGACCTTGTAACAGTTCTTCTGGGCCGTGAAGTTGCAAACGGGTCTGGGAATGCGTTCCTTGAGTAACAAAAGTACTGGGGAAAGGGGAACCTGTGCTACTATGAGTTGCTTCCGTTTTTTTCCACCTACCTGTTTCACAAGCTGGTGTTGCAGTCTTAAGTTGTACATGGGGAACCTGGTTGAACCAGAAGCATTTTGTAGCAGAGGCTGATTTCCCAAGGTAGAAATGTCACTTTTAAACTTAAGAATTCTGTGGCTTCTTTGGAAGGAGAGGTTACTGCGTCTATACCAAGATTTTGCAGTCAGTGCTTAGTATATTCACTACGTGGCTGCTGATTAAGACCTTTTCATTTTCTTTTGAAGAGGGAGGGGGAGGGCCTGTTCTTCAAACTTCACAGCTTTAAAGGCTCCCCAGATGCGATCTCTGTATCTATCAACGGCCTGCATCTTACCTACAAAAGCTTAGTTTCTCCCCAAAGTGGCACTTTATTGAAGAGTCCCCTTCCTTCGCAAAGGCCTTCTTCCCGGTCTCCCCGCCCCTACCCTCCGACATCCGTGGTAAAAAATCACACCCTTCCCTGAAATTCACCGAGCTCTGGAGCGGTGTCCTCTCAAACTCTTAGGAACCTGGGTAGTCTCTTAAAGAGGACTCAAAAGGCTGGAACGTAAAAGCCACGGTGAGGTCTTCCGGAAACCTCTCTGATCGGGTCAACATGTCAATGTCCCATTTATAACCACTGGCATGGTTTCGTTCCTATTACGGAAAACCAAAAAAACGCTTAATGCATTTTGAAATCCTGCAGAGAAAAGACGTGGGAGTCATTCGTCGGGTGCTAAACTGCTTACGAATCCACCCCACCCCCACCCCCACCCCCACCCCCGAGGAGGGCGGTTTACCTCCTTGCTTAGCAAGACCTCTCATCTCCGGAAGGAAGGAGGTTCGGTCAACACCGGACCCTTCACGCGGAGGAGCGTCGTCGTCTCCTAAGCAACCCGAACGCCCCGCCCCACCAGGGAGTTCCCTTGGAGACGCCCACGAAGAAGCGGACTTTGGAGAAATCGGTGCTTTTCCCCTCCCCACCCCCCACCCCCCACCCCCCCGTGTTGGAGAACTAAGCCCAGATTGCGCTCCTCCTCCCCCGCCCCTTCCTCCATCCAGCTAAGGCCTTACTCTGGATTGCTTGCTCGCGGCGGACAGCCCTTTCCTCCCGGGGTGGGCACGAGCGTCCGAGCCGCGGGGCCGGAGGGGGAGGGGGGAGGAGGAGGGGGGAGGGGGAGGAGGAGGAGGGGGGCCGGCCGGGGCGGCCCGAGCGGCGATGCCACCGAGCGGCCGCGCGGGGGCGCAGCGAGGGCCACCGATCGCAGCGAGGTCGGCGTCACCGCGCCCTCCTCCGCCCTCCTCCTGATAACGCGGGGCGTGTTTCCTCCAGGACTAAATCCCGAGAGCTAGCGCGGCGGGGCGGCCACCGCGGGTCACGCAGCCCGGGACCGGGGCGTCGGGGGGGCCTGCCGCGGCAGTTCAACCGCTCCCGAAAGGCCTGGGCGGGGCGCCCCACAGCTCCTGGGCGCTGATTGGTCGCTCCTTGTCCCCGCCCCCTCGGCCTGCGCGGCCTCGGTCTCCTTTGACCCCGATTTCAAGCCAAGCGCCGGGCCGCGGTTGGTCGGGCCGCCCCGGTGCTTGAGTTCAATCCACCCAATGAGGAGCGGGCCTCGCGGGGCCTGTCGGGAAAGCTGGCTGGTCTATATAAGCGGCCTGCGGGGCGTCCCCTCGCGCTTGGGTCGCCGTGGGGTCTCGGCGCGGAGCTCGTTGTGTGCGGGAGGGGCCGGCTTGCGCTCGCTCGGGCGGCACTTCAGGGACGATGGCGGAGGGAGATAATCGCAGCACCAACCTCCTGGTGAGTCGCGAGGGGAGCGAGCAGGGGCCTCCGGGCTTGGGGGGGGCTCAGCCTGGCAGCGCTCTTGCGGCCTCGTTCCTCCCACCGTGGTGGGCCCGGCCCTCCTCTCCCTCGGGCCCCCCGGGTGGGTGCCGCGGGGCGGTCCCCGGACCGGGCGGCCCTTAACACCCCGTGGGGCAGCTACGGGGCGAGGTGAGGACGGCGCGTGACCAGCCCCCGCGGATCGGGGAGGAAGTGGGAGAAGGGGGGGGGGTGCTGCGATGAGCCTGGGGCGCAGGCCTCCAGGGGCCTGTCTGTGAGCGCTCTTGAACCCCAGGCCCTTCTACGGGGTTCCCCTCCTCTTCCCTTCGTTCTTTAGCCCCAGTACTTGGGCAGGGGTGGGGGGAGGGGGGAGGAAGGGAGAGGGGCGGGGAGGGTCAAAGGGCCACTGCCGAGAATTTGCTGGAGCTGGCACAGCTTAAACCCGCAGGGAGGCTGTGAACTCACCGCAGGGAACTGGGATTAGAGGTCCAGCTGGAAGGACAGTGGGGAAGGACCTTGCGTTTGCCTGGAGTTTGCAAGGGAGGTGTGTGTGTGTGTGTGTGTGTGTGTGTGTGTGTGTGTGTGTATGTGTGTGTGTGTGAGAGAGACAGGTGGACTTCAGAATAAGCAGGGGTCTGAGGGAACTGCCGTGGTGTCTCACGGTGGATAAATCTAACCTAACTACTTGTTTTCACGGCGCGATCTAGGCAAAAAAACGAGAGAAATCCTTGCCCTCTTCTCCTTTTCCTTTTCCCTTTCCTTTCCTTTCCTTGTTCGTTGCCACAACGAAACAGCGTTTCATCCTTGACGTTGGATATTCCAAGAGCCCGGGTGCTAACGAGTTTGGTGACCTTGCAGGGCAGCCTTGATGGTGCCAGATTTTCGTTTTGCATTGGTGTTTAGAAATGCACGGCCTGTTCCTTGTAACGCACATGCCAGCACACTTGTCTGTGGCTAGCCGAGTTAGCTCCGGCCAAGTTCCAGTTAAGGGGAATTGATCGAAGCACAAAGAAATTGTCCAGCAAATTCACACAGTTTGTTGAGGTGACCGAGCCTGGCCCGAAGCTCAGCTGCTCTTTCCAGCAGAAAGCAGTGTAACTTTAAGCAGAACAAGGCCCTTGGCTTTGGATTTCCTGGGTTCAGATCTCTTAACCTCCATGTATCTGTTACTTCATCTGTAAAATGAGGCGAGTAACAATACCATCCTTTGAGTTCATTGGGAGGATTAATTAAAGTATAAGCATATAAAATACTTAGCGCTTCTGGCACATAGTAATCTCCTGTTTAACTATATTAAGCGTGGTATATATAAAGTCAGGAATGTTGAAGTCCTCTAAGTAATCAGTGTGGCACAGATAGATAGCATCTCTAGTAAGATTAGGCTGTCCTGTCCTCTGTCTTTTGTATATTTCCCCATGATAACATTTATAAGGGCATGTGGGTTTCTTTGTAGTTTTTTCCCTTTTTTTTTTTTTAATTTTTATTTATTTATGATAGTCACACAGATAGAGAGAGAAGCAGAGACACAGGCAGAGAGAGAAGCAGGCTCCATGCACCGGGAGCCCGACGTGGGATTCGATCCCGGGACTCCAGGATCACGCCCTGGGCCAAAGGCAGGCGCTAAACCGCTGCGCCACCCAGGGATCCCTGTAGTTTTTTTCCTGTACCGAAATCAGAATAGGGTTTTTTTTTATTTTTTTTCCACATTAGCTCATTCCAGAAGTCTACTTTCAGTTAGATTGTCAGTCTTGCAGAGAAATTTGAAGTCTAACCAAATGTTCTGGTAAGTGTAAGAAACACTCATTGTATTGAGATACACTGAGCTTGAGATGCCTCATGTAATTTGGTGAAAGTAAGTTTTACTTAATTGTGCAAATGATGCCAGCATCTAAAGGATTCCATTATACAGCGCTATTTTAAAAATTGAATGCTGTTCAGAGAGAGGCTTTCTTAATGGATTTAGAAGTAGGAGTATAAATCAATGAAATGACAAAACAACAGATCAATTCTAACCACCTGAAAAATGAGCACATTTGAAGTGATCTAATTTTATATTTTGGGTGCTGCCACTTACTGCATGACTTTGAGAAAGCTGGTTACCCATCTAAGGTCACTTTAATTAAATGGGTCTTATCCCTACTTTGAGGGCCTCTACTAGGATTGTTAACATTATGTATGAAGAGTAGCCCAGTGCTTGGATTTGGAAGGTGACTGTTAAATGGTAGGTTGCCACCTCCCCCCCTTAATTGATTTCTGTCTTGCTACCAAAATTGCAGAATTATTTAGAAACTAAGATAGTGATTTGGTCGAGGGCTCT